AATCACGGTTGGCGTGACTAATAATACAGCGTAACTTTTGGTCAGAATATGCCAGGTATCGAAAATCCCACGCCAAATGCTTTGTAGGGGTTCATCGGAGATTATTATTGTTATAAATATCATTATATATTTCTTGCTCATAAAATAGTATAAAATTTAGAAATACAATCCTATTGAGTTTGTATGCCCAGAAGGACAAAATTATGAAAATTTGACAAATAATGAGCCTGAAAGTTAGTTTAATTTAAATAAAATTAAATAATAAATGGAGCCTATGGGCTACATTAAAAATAAAATCTAAAAAAAATTTTAGTTCCTGGCTATGAATTAATTCCAACAAAGGAAACAATTGATGTTTACATAAATTATTTATCACAAATTAATCAACAAAATGAAGCTAGTACAAGCAGTACATCACAACTATTAGTAGATGCATACAAAATAAATATTTCTGCTGCTATATCCAAATTTACTTATTTAATTGCAAAAATATTAACTGAAGATTTGGAGGCATTTGAAGAAGAAAATGAGCATCAAGAGATGATTGTTGATTGGATAAATGTTGGAAATATTTTTCAAAAAACAATTGACGATATGGAGGTATCAATGAACTTGAATTTATTTTTAAAAATTTTCGTAACAATGGGATTTACATAATAGGCCTTGAGCAGATAGCAGGGGCCTTGAGGTCCAAGGCCTAATAGGCCTTGAACCTTATTCGAGGGATGGCATTCCGCTTTGAAATATGATCGTTTATTAGGGTATTTGGTGAGGGGTAATTATTTTTATTTAAGGAGGGCCATTAATACAAATTATAATGTAATCACTTTCTTGCTTAGATATCCGCAAAATCATACAAATCGGATACATATTTTATAATTTCAGTTAAAATTATGCAAAATATTTTTATTTCTGGAAGATTGGTTTCTATGGAATGGGCATTTCGCGAACTTAATAAATAATGAAAATAAATTAAATTTTAAAGAACTTAAAAAATATGTTGAAAATGTACCAAGAGGACCGGTTAATTGCTCATTAGAAAATGCGATAGATTTTTCAAATGAAATATTGGTAAATTAACTTGATTAAAATAAAATTTATCCATCGAAAATAGCAAAAATATTTATGAAATAGTTATATCTAAAACTCAAATAATTTTGCCTCCAGCGCTAACAAAGTAGAAAATTTGGCTTCCTTGACTTACAATTTCGACTAATATCCCTTGACCCACCCTTAAATCCTCCTTAATTTTTGAATAAATTGGCGTAAATATACCGAGAGTTAATTATTTTTGGAACATATTTTCTTCAGTAATTTGACACCCTTGATGTCCAGGGTTTATGCGATGCCAATTTACCCGGTTTTATGTGTCTCAATCATAGCCACCTTACTCACAAGATTTGATTCTATGGAATAACTTTTTGGTCTATTTTGTATGCCAGTGTCTTTGCTAACCCACACAAAAGTTTGAAGCTGCTCGGACAATAATTCATTCGTAATGGGAGAAAATCTCACCCAAAGTTTATGCCCAAAATTTTTCCACGCGACTTCGACTTTATATCCAAACAAAGGGTGGGCACTTCGTAAATTCGTAATTATTTTTGTTTCTTATTTAATTCTCTATCATCTAAGCTTTATTTGATCTTATAATCTTTAATTTGAATAAAGTTATTGCAAATATAACCTGCACCATTACTTTTGTGTCACCCTATAACTTAAAATTAAGCATCATCTAAATAACGAAAATATTCATTTTGATGTTTTCGATGCAATAATTACAAATTCTGATAGAATGCGGCATTTTTTGTGTAAAAATGATATTAAACAAATTAAATATTATTTAACTGGATTAATGTATGCAGACAATCTAATTCTTTTAGAGAAAAGACATCCAGAAGTTCTAAAAATAGGTATTTTTTGTATTGGGAAGGAATCACGTCCTGAGGATTAATCCCACGGGATCTCTTTTGAAAAGAAACCCGTTAAATAATCCCAGAAACCTAGGTTATCTTAAAATAGGTTCAACTAACTGTGCTGCCATCCAACCCTATTATTCTCAATTTTATTTCTATTCTATTATCTTCACACATAATGTTCCTAAATTGGAATAACTAAATCAAATCCTTCGCCATAAGAGTATGGCACTGGTTTAAATTTGTACAGGGTTTTACTGAACTACAAGAAAGGAAAAAGATTACCCGGATTACACATCAATTTGTCAATTTTTCTTTTAAATTAAGATCAAATATTCACACAAATGCGGTTGAGTTATTATACTGCTTACTTAATACATCCAATTAATTCTGCCAAATCGACTAGCGCAAGATTCATATTATTCGGGTCTTTATTGTATGGAAAAGTTAAGGATAGTTTTGAGGAAATTAAAAAGGTATCGGGCAATGTAACAAAGGTAGAAGATTTTTAAAATACTTATAAATATAGTAAATTTTGATTGAATCCCTCCCCGCATTTCAATCGAAGTTCCTTGCTAATTTATTTAATTTTTGAAATTTAAAAGAAATAACCTAATACCACAACCTCGCGAAAAAAATATAAAACGACTTAACTCGACTCGCCCATTAACTTTTAGGATCGACTTTAATACTAGAAAACCATGTCGATGCAGAAGACCCTTTAATAGAAGACCCTAAGAATACCCACAGACAAAAGACAACCTCACATTGATGTTCCAAAATGGGAGGTTTCTCCAACAGCGGGTAAAGTTTTGCAACAATAGGGAGGTTGTTGCAAGAACGGGGAAGGTTATTCCAACAGCGGGGAAAGTTGTTCCAACAATCAGGAATGTTGTTACAAGAACGGGGAAGGTTATTCTAATAGCGAGGAAAGTTGGGAAGTTGTTCCAATAATTGTAAGGTTGTTCCATCGAAGGGTAATCTTGTTCCAATGTTGTTCCAATGACAAATTATAAGATACATTTCTACTAAAAATGAATCTTGACTGTATTAAAATAAGAAATACTAAATTAAATTTATAGTTAATTCCCGGCAATAATTCAAAGCTTGAAGTTTTTTCTGATCGTTTAAAATGGCTCAAATCTCAACTTTTTGCCAACGACACTTCATTTTATACTTCTAAAAGTTTATGTTTAATGGTTAATTTCGTTCAATTGGCAACACCAGAAAAATTTCATGAAGCATGTGAAAGAATAGGACAAAAAAACAGAATATTTGATTTGAACGAAGTAAAGGAATGGGAAGGAAAGGAATGCGAAAATATTGAAGATAATTTACTGCGGAAGAGATCATTATTCATGCAAACAGTAAAAATTTAAAACTATTTTTACAAAACTAATTTTAGTAAATACCGTATTTTCTCACTTAATCGCCCTGGGGAATTATTTTTTCAACCCTTCTTGGCATGGGGAATTATTCAAGTTTTGGCATTTGAACGTGAAGTAGTGTATTTGGGACTGGGGAATTATTGTTTCAACCCAACTCTAGCATGGGGAATTAATCGAGATGGAGAATTATTCGAGGGAGGGGAAAAAAGGTCAAAAATCGAAACTAAAAAATCGAAATTTCGGTGAAGCCTTGCTTAAGCATTTGAATTACCTATTTTATTCAGATAGAGGAACTATTTTTAAATTTAAATTTATTTTAGATACTACTTGAAGAAGAACATTACAATTTTATTGAAAATTATATTGTAGATAAACATTTTATTATGGATCATGTCGAAAGAAGAGCCCGACTTAACAAACTTTTTGTTGATGGAAAGTACAAATATTTCACCGAAAATATTAAGTTTTTAATATTGAAAATTGAAAGGAAAAATAAAAAATTTATATTTGGGTTGTCCCCACTAGAAGGGGGGGGGGAATGGGGCAAACCCCACCATATTAGGGTTGTCCCCACTATATTAGGCTTGCCCTCACTAAAAAAAGGGGAGAGGGGTTGCCCCCACTATATTAGGTTTGCCCTCACCAACAAAATCCTTAACTCCTTCTTTTGATCAATCCCTCATTCTAACGGGGAGTTGATCACAGAATTTACAGAATTCTGGTTGACCACAATGTGTTAAAAAGTACAATTGTTTTTTATACTGAATTATTTTGTTTATTCTCAATTTTTCCTAATTTTAGCATTTACCAACATAGGAAATTTTAATTATAATATAATAAAAATGTTTGACGAAAATGAAGTAACTGCAGAACAAAATAGAATGGCTGCAAGTATATTTGTGTTCCATAAATGGATTAAACTTCGTGTAGAAGTCAAAAAAGATTTACCTAAATATTGGGAAAACCTCTTAAAATCTGAAGAAACAAAATTTTGGCTTAATGATTTATATGAGCATGTTTTTATTTTGGAAGATTTAAATCATTTTGGGGATGATAAAGCTTTAAAAGTATTAGCTGGAGTTAAGGCATTAGCTGATGGGGAGTTAAAAATGGAAAGTGGAAATTCAAAAAATAAGTTTGTCAATTTATTTTAATTTTTAGAAAAGATATACGGTATATCCTTTAATAACTACCCTGGGTATTTATTGTTTTGACCTTCCGCTGGAGGGAGTAATTATACGAGGTTTGAAAGTTGAACGTGTTTTAGAGCATTTATTGGGGGGGGGGTAATTATTGTTTCAATCTATCGCTGGATGGGGTAATTAATGGAAGTGAGGTAGAGGTAATTATTTGAGAGAGGGCAATAAATAAGGTTATACGGTATAATAATCATAACATTATATTACAATAGGTTATTCATTTTATACTCCAAACTCCGACCAGGTCTGTATCGGAATTTTGATTTTTCATATTCTTTGACTTTTCCATGTTCCAGTTTCTCAAATTTCGGAGTAAAATCTCCCAATTTCCTACTCCAATTCCAGCATTGGAAATGCTTAGAAATAACCCTTAATGTTATAAATGTATTTTAATAGAACAGAAGGATTTTATGGGAACCGGATGCCTAAATGTTATGCCACCTAAAACAAATATCCAGATTCTTATAAAATATAGATTATCAATTTTTTGTTAATAAGAATTTTTAAGGGATTTATATATAGAATTAACACGTCATTTGGATATGATAGGACTGGATCAACATGAAAAATTGAACAAATTATGGCTGAAAAAACACAATAAGCGAATCTTTGTAACTTGGATAAAAAAATTACTGAAGGATGAATTATTTAGAGAAATTGAGATGGTAAAAAATGTTGATCGAAAAGGGAAGAAAATTAAGGATAGTAATAATACTTATATGGAGGAACAAGTAAAAGAAATTAATTATTTTTTGGATAGATTGAAAGAGGGTAATTAATATTTTAAGCTTAAAGTTTGTTGATTTGATGAGGATCATAAGCATAAATTTTTTGCTGCTTGTGATGGGAATAGTTAGAAATGAATAATAGTGACGGTAGTGCCTAGAAAACCATCTTCCGGATCTGGACTTTAGATTTCGCGTCACTCCGAAGCGAATCCGACAAGATTTTCTGGATTAATTTGATCAGAAATATTTAAGAGATTGCGAAAACCAGCAAATTTATGACTAGACTCTGAAACAATCCGGGTCTGGTTCGGTACCGATCATTAATAGTCTAAGTTAATTTAGCTAAGCTATAGGTTGAATAATGATTTTATTGTTCTAGAGTAAGATAAAAATTTGTTATACTAATTCACCAAAAAAAATAAATTTTTAGATCTTCTTACTCACAAAATTGACATAGATAAATTTGCCTCAGCGTTCAACCTCGATGAAAATAATATAAAAGATATTTTTGAAATTTTAAAAATTAAAATTAAACCTAACGAGTTAAGATTAGAAATTAAAAAAGAAAATCAGAATAAGCAACACAATGAGAAAAAAGATATAATTCAAGAAGAAAATAAAAAAGATGCTGATCTAAAAAATAAAGAAATTTCGGTAGAGTTAAATAAATCTAATGAAAATATTAAAGACAAAAATAACGAAAAAATTAATTCAATTAAAGAAATTAAAGAAGAAAATAATTCAAAAAATAAGAAATCTAAGAAGAAAAAAGCAAAAAATACGGGTTTGAAGGAAAATGTTGTTGAAGAAATAAAAGAAGATAAAAATATAGTTAATATTGAAGGGGAGGAAATGGGGAATAAAAATGAAGAAAATAATAAGGAAGAAGATAATAAGGTAAAAATAGAACATCAAGAAGATAAGAGGACACAAATGAATAATGAAGAGAAAAACATTGAAGAAAAAGAAGAGAATACTGAAGGAAATAATGAAGGGAAGAAACATGAGGAAGAAGAGAAGATTGAATTGAATAAGGAAGAGAAGAAGGAAAACGTAAAAGAAATGAGGACTGAAGGAAATAAAAGGGAAGGGGAAGAAAGGATGAGGGATAGGAATAATGAAGTTAATAGGGATGCAGAAGATGAAGACGAAAAGAAGATTGAATTGGATAATGAAGAGGAGAAGAAAAACGTAGAAGAGGAAATGAAGATTGAAGGAAATAATGAGGGGAATAAAAAGGAAGGGGAAGAAGATGAAAGTAAGACTGATGGGAATATTGAAGTTAAGAAGGATAAAGAAGAAGAAAAAGAAGAAGAAAAGAAGATTGAATTGAATAACGAAGAGAAGAACGATCAAGAAAAGGAAGGAAAGACTCACGGAGTAAATGATAAGAAAAAGAGGGAAGAGGAAGAAGGGAAGGTTGAAGTGAATAATAAAGCTAGCTCTGTCAAGAATCGTGCCCGCTCAAAACATCAAACTCTTAAAATATCTAGACGAGTAAAAAAGCTCAAAATATCTAGACGGTTAAAGAATCTCAAAATATCTAGACGGCTATAAAATCTAAAAATATATTTTCTTAAAACGTCAAACTCTTAAAATATATTTACGGGTAAAATATCTCAAAATATCAAAATATATTTTTTCAATTAAAAGGGACAGTTGAGTCCGCAGAAAAAAGTTTTCGCCGCTGCGGAGGAAGCCGGGCATGTCGAGCGGAACGACGGCCGCCGCTTCGCTACGGTCGCCGCGAGCGAAGCGAGCACGACCGCAGCGAAGCACGGCCATCGTGTAGCGAAGACCATGCCCGGCCTACCCTCCGTAGCAGCACAAAAACAGTTTTTCCAGCGAAGATTCTGTTGGTCATAACTTTGTTCAGAAGCGTCCAATCGAGCTGATTTTGGTTTCACTTGATTCAGCTCGTCGAACTCATGCAAAATTGGTCCTGAAGTACTACATCTTAAAATATATTCACCCCTGATACAAGGAAGAAATATGGGACTCAACTGTCCCTTTTAATTAAAAAATATATTTTGATATTTTGAGATATTTTACCCGTAAATATATTTTAAGAGTTTGATGTTTTGAGAGAATATGTTTTGAGATTTTTTACTCGTCTAGATATTTTGAGAGTTTGATGTTTTAAGAATTTATGTTTTGTATGGGAGCCGTCAAGAATAATGTTAAAGATAAGAAAACCAGGCGAAAAACTAAATCTAGGAAGGCAAAGTCTAATAATCTGAAAAAGAAAGAGAATAAAGAAAAAGAACTTTTAATCAAAACAGAAGATGAACCCACAGAAAAGTAAGAAGGAATTTCATTATTAAGTAAACCCCTAGGTCCCGAAGTAGGAGTGAAATGAGAAAGGTTATACAGTGAGGTTATACGTTGAAGTCCACTTATTTCTGTTGAGAGTCTGAGATATATTTAATTTGGAAAAAGTCAAGAATATGGCTACCATACAAATATACTTGAATCATATGTCATTCGAAAGAGCTTGACGAGCTGAGGAGAATGGCATATGATCCAAGTATTATATTTTCGTTGTCATATTCTTGACTTTTACCAACAATTTATAATAAATATTAATTAGCAATCATAAATATTTATAGCAAGGGAATTAGCTATTCAAGAAATCAAGAAGTAGATTATTGTATATTGCCTGACAGTGATGATGATAGTCTTGGATTTACCAATTCTAGTATTAAAATTATAGAAAATAGTTTGCCAAATATTCAAACAGAATTATTGGATGATACAAATAAAGAGTTGAATTTAGATAAAAATGAAGGTAATTTTTAATTGAAATTATTATTTGATTATTATTAATTATTTTATTTTCAATCAGATATAGTAAAAATTAAAGATTTAAAAAAACAATTGAAGAAAAATAAAGATGACAAATTAAAATTTAACAAAAAACACAAATTAAGTGTTAATCAAAAGATTATGAAGTATAAAAATAAGGTAAAATTCTGGACTTTATACAAATCATTAGACAATAGGTGATTTAAGATACTTTTTTGAAATTTGCTTGGTAATAGGATAGCTAACTAGTTAATGCCTTAAATTTGAAATTCATTAATTATAATAAAGGAAGTCGATTTATCGTTTCACAAGATTCTTATGTTAACCGAATCTGTCTTGAAAATTTTCTGATTTTTTGGTTCGTTTGAAACTAACAACCCTAAAATAAATACTATATACAATTTCTTATAATGATATTATACTTAATAATAATCTTACAGAAAAATATTTGTTGCTTAAATGAAATAAATAAATTATTTCAAAAAATTGAAAGTATAATTTCGTTAAATAATAAATTGGAAGAATTTAATAAATTAAAAGTTGAATGGGAAAATATTAAAAATAACAAGTTTAAATATTTTAATTGCAATTTATTTAAAGCAAAATTAGAAAAATATAAAAATTCAAAATTAATAGTAAAATTGGAAAATGAAAGAAAATTTTTGGTAAATTATTATAATAATTTAAAATAATTTTTTGGGAATACTCAATATTATGAACGAGAAATGTCTAATGAATTATCGAGATTTCGTCTATTTTTTGTCATTTCCATTTCACACGTATTTTTATTCCGTGTACATAGTAATATTTATCATCCTATCACCAATCACTATTAATTGGACATCCTAGGAAATAGGAACATATTCTCCTCACATTACTTTCTATTCTGTAGAATCTACAGCAAAGACTTGAGCAAAGTTTTGACCTAAAAAAATGCAAATTAATATCGGCAAACTTTTTACTAATTATTTTTAATTTTTAGATTGAAGCCGTACTTCAATTAATACCATCAAATAATAGTAAAATATATCCACTTGAAGAAACTATCTTATCATTTAAATCAATCATTCATGGATGGGTAATAATTATTTTAAATAGAAATTCCATTCGTTTTTTCATTAAAATATTTTAGCGTCCAGAATCTCTTATACTTATTTCTGGTTCGTATATATTCAAATCTCTTACACCTGAGTCGGATATTGATATGATTGTATTATTGCCGAATTATGAGAAAATTAATGAGATTAATCTACAACATACAAATAATTTGGTTTTTAATGAAGATGAAGATTCATTATATAATATAATTAGAACGGTAATTATTTAATTCATATACTTTGGAATCCGATATTCCCCCCTATGATTGAGTAATTTTTGATTTAAGAAAATATGGTTCAAAATTCTATTGTTTACTTGATGGAGTGAACTGCCGATAACGATATACTATAGGATTGGCAATACCTGGGAATTCGTCGGATATCCAGATCCTGAACCGATGTGCGAAACAAAAATTTCCTTGGATCCGGAACAGACATCGTGTTACCCTTTATTTAAGTTACCTACCACTATAATTAGCAGCCCTGAGATTGCTAAGACTAGGTTCGACTGTATAAAAATATTTATTTTAATTTTATAGACGGAAGGTGTTTCATCATTATTTAAAGTTGGCGGTCGAGTACCTTTATTAAAACTTGTATATTATGGTTATGATTTTGATTTGCTTTTTGTTGGAGTTCCATGTCTCAAAATAAATGAAAATTCTCTGTTTCTAAGAAAAGAATATAAAGAAAATTTAAATTTGGAAGACACGGATAAAATTATCAATCAACTTATTTTTAATCTTCAAACAAAACCGATCGAAGATATTCGCTCAGTTATACTACCCCTTTCCGGTTATATTTTATAAGTATAGAAATGAATAATATTTTATTTAAAGGTTATCGTTCCAATCTTTATATTGCCAAATTAATGGAAAAAAATTTTGAAATTTTTAAAACGCTTCTTCTTGTACTAAAAATATGGGCTAAAAGTTTGTAGTTTTATTTTCGTTGAAAATTTTTATTTTATAAATTTAAGACCATTTTATATATAGCGGACAATTTGGCTTTTTTAATGGAACAAATTTATCAGTAATGGCATGCAAAACAATTTTGTTAAATAAAAATAGAAATCAATCTATTTTTAATCTATTAGAGCAATTTTATATCACATTTACAGAATGGTTAGATAAGAGATTTTATTGAAAAAAGTTAAATTTGTAGAAAGGATGTTCCATTTATCCGAAATCCGATACCTGAACCTAAATATCCTCTAATTCCACAGATATCCCCTAATCCACCGATATCCACCAAATGCCTGACTATATCAATCTTTTAGTGCATACCATCTGGGGTGGCGATAGTCTCGTATCTCGTGAAATATAATGTTTTTTGAGAGATCTCGTATCTCGTGAATCTCGTGACTTGTATTTTTTGGCACTTGCGCCACCCCTGCTACATACCTATATAAAATATTCCTTCACAACGTAAATTATATTTTGCCAGGGATTGGACAAATCCTGTATTATTGGAAAGCTTTGTCCAACAATTAGCTCAACAATCTAGCAATTCATTAGATATACAAAAGTATCAAGATTTTATCTCAATCAAAAGCTCACTAGATTGGGATATTAATTCTGATTATAATAAACGTCGTCAAGTATTTGGTCTTGATAATTATACAGTTTACAATCAAAATATACGACGATTGGAAAAACATGCTAAGATGATGTGGCCAATTATTACTCCAGGAAATCCTCCACAGAATTCTGGATTTAATATAAATTATTCAACTTCAAAAATTTTACTTTCAGAAATGAGATTAGGTACTTAAATAGTTTGGAATTTAAATATTTTTAAAAATTTTCTAAATAATTCGCATGTAAAAATGAGTCTTTACACAAAATTGAGAGCATTTATGCTTAGGTAACTCAATTATATAGAGATTAAGCAATTTTTGTATTATGTATCAGTGTTGCCGTGAGTACAAAAAATCTTCGGGTACTGGTTACGGGTTGGAACATTTTCTTGACGGGAATCGTGTTTCGGTCGGCAACCCAGTTATGTCTTTAAAAATGAAGTTTGTCAGTGTTATTTGAATTAAAGAAAAAAGATAGAAATTGAAGGGCAACTGAAGGGCAAATTGAAGTCAAAAGGATTTTAGCATTAATATGGTTCTCGTATATTTATTAATTATTTAAGAGTTGATCCAGAGTTCTATAAATCAAGCTTCTCCATCATTGAAATATGTTCAAAGTGTCATAGAATATTACAACAGCAAAAAGAGAAAAAGTAGAAAAAACAAAACTATTATAAAAAATACATGGATAAACTGGCTAGATGGACGTCTTTTCGAGGAAAAGGTTTTTTAATGTTTAATTTTTCCGAAATTTATTTTTCAAGTATGAACACTTTATGGCAATTACTTCAATCAATTTAAACCCAAATAATTCGAATAATCAAATATTTGAAGAGTTTAACAATTTTGTAGAAACCCGAATTAGATTAGGACTTGTATTTAACATTGAAAATATTCCTGAAATTGATTATTGTCATGCAAAACCTGGAAGAGTTTGGAATAATGAAAAGTGCCCTTCAATAATTACTGAAAAAAATATAAATAATGAGTAGGTTCTTGAATTCAATTCAAACAATATACCGTATTTTCTCTAAAATAACCCCCGAGGGTTATTTTTTTCGATCGGCCTCTAGAGGGGGGGGGGGGTTATTTTAGAGAAAATACGGTACTTGATTTTCACTATAAGATACACAAAATTAGGTATCGATCAGAAGCTAAATCTCAAACTTAAATCAACATCGGTATCTTTCGAGATATTGATCTCGATTTTCGCACGAATCTTCCTGTCTGGTCTATGCCCCAAATCAGGGTTGCCGCGGGTACAAAAAATCTTCGGGTACGGGTTTCGGGTATCGGGTTGGAGCGTTTTCATTTCGGGTCACGGGTTTCGGGTTGGCAAAAATATCGGGTACGGGTTTCGGGTTATAAAATTTTCATTTCGGGTATCGGGTTTCGGGTTGGACAAAATTTCGGGTACGGGTTTCGGGTTTGGCGAAAAACTCGGGTTATTTTCGGGTGTTCGGGTATTGGTGAACTAAATTGTAAAGAGACAAGCTATGTTGGATAATAGGATATAGAGAGAGGCAAATTTGAAAAGGAGACATTGTGGGATTTCGGGATTAAGAGGGATATCTTGGTAAAATCCCCCTTAATAAAATCCCACTATATACTAATTGATGATCCTTAAGCCTTCGCTTTATCTCCATTAAAGTCTTCAATTTTCTCCCTTTTCAGCGCCGCAGGCAAAAATTTTTAGAATTTTGAAGACCAAGAAGTCAACTTTCTTCCATTTTTTGCGCCGCAGGCGAAAATTTTGAGAATTTTGTAAGGCCTTAGAAGAAAAAATTCAATTGTCAGAACCGCAGGCAAAAAATTTTATTGAAGTTTAGTTGGTCATGAAGCCAGAATTCTTAATTTTATGCGCCGCAGGCGAAAATTTTGCAAAATTAATGACTAAATTAAAATTTTTAAACTTTTTCAAGCTTAAAATATTAAAAAAAATAAATTTAAAATAATAAAATGAAAATCAAAGTTTAAAAACATATATTTTTGAAAAGAAAAGTTTTTTTAGCCTCATTACCAGCCCTGGACTCGAACCCACCACTTTGAAAATATCGAGACAGTCGCCTTACCAACTAAACCAGCGATCAACTTAATTAAAAAAGAAAAGAAATTATAAATATTTCTTTCCCTTTTCCTTTTTCCTCTTTCTATAATTTTTTAAATCTATTTTAAAAAAATCGGGTAAGGCTAAGTTTTCGGGTAGAAATTTCGGGTTTTAACCAATTTCGGGTCACGGGTTTCGGGTTGAAAAAAATATCGGGTACGGGTTTCGGGTTTCGGGTTGAAAAATTTTCATTTCGGGTATCGGGTTTCGGGTACAAAAAAAGGCCGGGTTTCGGGTTTCGGGCGGCAACCCTGCCCCAAATATAAAAAAACATCTCAAGTTAAATTTAGTAGATCAAGTTAAATTTAGAGATCATTTGAATTTAGAGATCTTTTAAATTTAGTAGTTGGAGCTGGCTACGCGATAATCCCAATTTAACATAACCTCATTATTAGATAATTTTTTATTCTGATTGTGTGTCTATAAATATGTTTACCTATTTACTGTAAATTAATTCTCAGAAATACTTCAACTACTATGTTATGTACAACCTGGATAGTCGGCATTAAAATAAATTCTACAACAAGATTACCTTTTTTAATTTTTATTTCCTCATCTAATCATTTTGAGGAATTTGCAAATAGAATTAAACAAAAATCTTTTTTACCCGAAGAAGAAAGAGAAAATATACAATTATTTGCCAATTATTGGACACAAAGCCAACTTAAAATGGAATTAGAAAATAAGCAAAAATAATTTCTGAAATGTTTTTAATTACGAAATTTTTATTTATTTTTTATAACCTCTTAAGAGGGCCATATTATTTGTATTTATAACTAAAAATAGATATATTTTTTATCCAAATATAATTTTTTAAAAAATATTTTATGATTAAATAACCAACCAGTTACCCTTTAACTTTAAAATATGTAACTTTAATTTATTTTAATTTCAAATTACTTTTTAAATTATGAACTTTTGATCCACAAGTTGCCTAAATAAAATATATTTATTCGATTTAGTTCCAAGTTTAACCGACACTTCGGAGTCCAAAACTCGGGGTTGTGTTTGACAAAAAAACAAAATTTGACTAACCAAAATTATTATAGTTTCTTAGAAATAAAACAGTTGTTAGTCCCATCCTAATTAACTTGTCGGTATTTGACTAAAACCTAAATATGGTGTCTAAGAATCGGATTAACATACCAGTAGTGATTAATCCTGGACTACCTTTTATTAATTTAATTTGCAAAAATATTTTTTTGCACTTTTATTATTTTGTGCCAAAGCATTTATAAATTCTTAGAAATAAAACAAACATACTAATTTATTCACAAAAAAATAAAAATTTTAGAAATAATCACCTGTTTGCCCACAATTTTTAACAAAAATTATAAGATATATCGTAGAAAGTTTACAAAGACAATAATTAAATTTACTTTTTAAATATTTTAGAATGTTGTGTTATATAAAATTTTAGGCAAAGAAATTTTTGATGACGATAGCTGCCGTGCTGTAAAACAACAATATTTTTATGTAATCTTAGCATAGTGGTAATTAAATAACGTCACTAATTTGCTTAGAAATCTGATAGTAAAAATTACAATAATTTTATTTTCTTAAAAACCCCTCTACAAAATCCTTTATTCTTCACATCTAATTTCAATAATCCCGTTGATTTTATTAGTTTAAAATAGGGTTGAGCCCCGAATGCTCAGGGCGGGTATGTCTAGGTACGGGGTTTTCGAATTGTTTCGGGGCGGGGTTCGGGTCGGGGGAGCAAAATATAATCGGAGTTCGGGTCGGGATACGGGGGTTTAATGGAAAATTTTTATCACAATACAAGGGTAAATATTTTTTAATGGATGACGAATGGGGAACATTTTGATGGGGAGTATAAACGGCAGATTTTTTTAACTTTTAGAATTATCAAATAAAATAATATTACCTATTTTATTAAAGTATGGAATTATATTTATTTCGACAAGAACGTTGGCAAGAACTCTATAATTGTAGTAAAATAAATGTTTCTGATGTTCCTCTAGAAGAAAGATATCATCCGATAAATGGAACTATTATTATTTTATTATTTATTTTATTTGAGGTGATTTTAAATATTTAAAGTATTTACTTAAATAAATTTTAAAAAATTATTTAATTGGGGAAATTAGAAAAAAAATGTAGGTTCTAGTTCGAACCGAAGAAAATTCGGTTCATTTCGGAAGCATGAACGACTACCATAAATGGAATTATGTGTTTAATTAATCTAAAAACTTAAAGGCTTTTTTATAATTTGTTAAAAAATTAACATTCTATGAATATTTTTGTTTATTCTCGTAAGGTTTCCGAAATTATCGATATCGACTCGAAAAATACCATTTGCCAAACCAATAGGCATGGATTTAAAATTTCTTATCCATAAAAGATGGAGCAAGCATAGCCATCCGTAACTGTTTATCACTGCTGCCTAAAAACTTTTCGATTGTGGGCTTTTAAATCGGAGTTAAGCTCCACTAGCTTAGTCAATAGACCATTTGAACATTAGGGTTAGCGGATCTTGGGAAATTCCGAATAACGAACATTTTAATCAAGCTTAGCAATAACTTCCAGGAACTGGGAATTTAATACCTGCCTGGTTGCTAAACTTTTTATTAAAATTCTTGAACGAACATAAATTAAAGTTAAGTAATTTTTTTTGAAGATTTTATATACGCCGTGTGTCTATTCAATTTATAAACACAGAGAATTATCATGTTATAAATTTTTACTTTTTATTGGAATTGTTGATATGGTTATGCTATTCATTCATGGTTTAGCTACAGGAATTTATTGTTTTACCAGCGAAATGTTTTGTTCACATCCAAATTTAACTTTTATTTTAGGCACCCTCGCAGCCGGTAAATTTAAAAAAATAAACATAAAAAAATTAAATTTTTGAAGGTTTATATTGTATGCAAACTTGTGCTAATATTTTTCTCGCTTTGGATCGTTGTGCAGATTCTTTTTCGACAAAAATTTCGGATTTTTTCTTTTTGGGTACTGATTTGTTTTTTCTCCGATGCTTCTAGTGAGTGACTCTTAGAGAAGCTTGTTTTTTTTTTCCAAGGATAAATTTTTTGAATGAAAAATAGGGAAGTGAAGCACTTGAGTGATTTGATGATTTGATTTGATTGATTTGATTTGATTTCATGATTTCATGATTTTTTTTTATTTTTTTTATTTTTTTTTATTTTTTTTTTTATTTTTTTTTTATTTCATTCACATGATTTCACTGGGGTAGAGTTACTTCATTAAATGAAATTATGATCCAATTTTTATATTCCTCAAAATTATCCGCATGTTTAATGTTTTAATTTTAAGGGCCACGTACTTGGATGTGGATATTTTGTTCTTTTCTTTTTGGCATTTATAATTTTTTGTTTATTAGTCCAGGTCTTTATAATGGAATTTATATGAATTGGTTTGAAAATCCGTAAATTTATTTCTAAATTTATTTAAAAATTATTCTTTAAAGATACTTTGGTTATTCAATTGAAATTAATTTAAATGAGGTATTTTAATTTAAAAATTATTTTTATTTTAAATTTAAAGTATGTTAATTTTGTTAATCTTTGGTATGATCTATTTTTTGCTTTTGGCTTCCCAGCAATTTACTTATTTTTTATTGTTATGTTTTGTATTAGATTAAAAGAAATTAAGGCTATTGCAAATATTGAACAAAGAAAATTGAAAATAACGGTAAAAATACATACATATGTAAAGTTATAGTTAAATAGGAGCCCTATATATTTACGAATGAGGAATTGAAGGTGGAAGATGCATGAATGATTCCCAGAGGTGCTAGAGCTAAGTAGGGTTAATCGTTCGGTATACCTCTTGATTGAGCAATAGGCTGATCGAGCTATTGGAGAGAATCTCTCACGGGCCCGTAGAATAAATTCGGGGTAAAGGGCATTTAACTCCTACCTTGGGGTTAAATAACCCGTAACCCGCAGAATAAATTCATACCCCTAGCTTCGGGTTAAATAACCGGGTCAGATAACCCGGTTATATGACCCGCGTAACATTACCGGTAGAATAAATTAATTACCCGGGTTGAATAACCCGCAGGTAAGGGGCAAAATGCAACCCTACTAGGGGGCAGGGTAACATGCGAATTATGCATAATTTCCAAAAAATTAAAACATTTATTAAATTGCAAAATTTTTAAAAATTTTAATTTCTATTCAAAACGCATAGAAAAAATTTTTTTAACAAAAATTTTTTGATTTTTTTAATAAAAATTTTTTAACAAAAACTTTTACAAAAATTTTTGAAACAAAATTTTTTCAACAATTAAAAATTTTATAAATTTTTTAAATATTTTCATTTACTTATCTCTTTTTAATAATAACAATCATTGCGTAAACAATTATTGCGAAATGGGTTTAGCAATAAAATATAAAGGGTCAAATAACCCAGTAACTCAACTAGTTAAATAACCCCTAGCTTGGTGTTAAATAACCCTTAACTCGGGGTTGAATTTATTCTACCAATTTTAACCCGTAGCTATGGGTTATTTGCCCCTGGGTTGTTTAACCGGGTTATCCAACCCCAAATTTATTCTACGGGCCACGATGGGCGAGCAAATGTGATTTCCTAATCTCTCTTGCTTTCGTCCAGGTCTTGAACAGTCCCCTTTGCCCCCGCAACCATCATGAATTTTTGTCTTTAGTTTGTCTAGAATTTTTGTCTCCGTTGCCCCCACCTTTATCTGCGGAGGCAACTTTGCCCCCACGATCAAGTTCTTAAATCAATCAAAATTTAATTTAAAGGTATTTGTCCAAATCGCTATGATAGTTGGACTAAATATCCCTTCAAGTCTTATCTTCTTTATAATGCAACATTTACCCTTACATAAAATAATGGTATTATTTGGATATTATGTTAATTATTTTGTTTTTGGTATTTAAATTAATTAATTGATTTAATAAATAAGTTATTTAAAGGCTTTCCTCCATTAATTTACCTAAGTTGTAATAAAACAATTAGAACAGATGCGAAGAAATTATTAAAGAAAACAAAAGGATTAATATTTAAATTAAAAATTAATCCTGCTAATAATAATAATACTATTCTTCATTAATTAGAATAAATATCTTTTTAAAATAATTGTTTCTAATCTTTTCGCTATAATACTTCATTAAATATGAGTTATCTTTTTTTGGGGTATTTTGGAAGGTCTTGAGCATCTTTAAGTTTAGGTGGATGTACGTCAAACAGATATTTTTAGATAGAATAAACCAAGTACTCTGTAGCAGGGTTGCCGCCCGAAACCCGAAACCCGGCCCTTTTTTGTACACGAAACCCGATACCCTAAAAGAAAATTTTCCAACCCGAAACCCGTGACCCGAAATTGGTTAAAACCCGAAATTTCTACCCGAAAACTTAGCCTTACCCGATTTTTAAAAATAAATTTTAAAAAATTATAGAAAGAGAAAGAAGGAAAAGGTCCAATTATTATGAAAAAACTAAACTTCAATAAAAATTTTTTTCCTGCGGTTCTGCCAATTGAATTATTTCTCCAAAGACCTTACAAAATTCTCAAAATTTTCGCCTCCGGCGGTGAAAAAGCTAGAGTTCTGGCTTAAGGATCATAAAAATTCTCAAAATTTTCCCCTGCGGCGCAAAATATGGAAGAAATTTGGCTCCTCAATCTTCCAAAATTCACAAAATTTTGCCTGCGGCGCTGAAAACGGGAGAAAATTGTAGGTTTAATGGAAATAAAGCGGAGGGATATTAGTATATAATGGGATTTTATCAAGGTGTGGGATTTTACTTATATAGTGGGTAATCTCTGTATGTATGTATTTGAGGGGAGAGGGTATTCAATTAGAGGGAATACAGTATATATTTTTTTGAATTATATCTATCCAATCAGTGATGTCAAAGTTCCAAGATTTCTCTGGAACTAGTTCCAGTTCCAGAACTAGGTTTTTAATTTTTGTAGTTCCAGTTCCAGTTCCGGAACCAGGTTTTTAATTTTTGTAGTTCCAGTTCCAGTTCCGGAACTCCATTTTTGAAATTCCTTAGTTCCAGTTCCAGTTCTGGAACTAGTTCCAAGCTAGTTCTAGTTCCAAATTTTTAAATTTTTGAATATGAAAGGATTTATCAATTTTAACAAATAAAGGCATAACACTACTCCCACAATTGACTCGACACTCAACACTTGATAGTCGTCCGTGTCGAGTGTCGAGTGGTTTCTCATGCAGTCTGCACCATATACTCTCTAGTGTTGAGTGTCAAGTGCTTTTCAAGATTTTTTTTTAAAGTTAAAACACTTGACACGGACGCACGCACGGATGCCCGCACGGAACACTTGACACTCGACAAAACACGGAGTATTGTGGGAGTGTGCAGCTGACACTCGACAAAACACTCAACAAAACATTCGACACGGATGTCGTTGTGGGAGTAGCCTAATTTAAAAAATCATTTAGTCCGTAACGGGATTTTTTTCAAAATTTTTTACGCGACAGGAGGCCGCGGGATTAATTCTGTAATCCCGATAATCCCGTTTTAAAATTTAGTGGGATACCGGCGGGATTTCGGGATTTTCACATAAAGAATTTTAACGGGGAGATCAGAGGATGTGAAGGGATTAATGGATTTAAAAGGATATCTGGGGATATTTTTGGTGATATCTGGGTTATAAGAGGATTATGAGTGATAACGGAGGATTTAAGGAGATTGGATTTGTCCTGTGGATAGCGGGATCCTTTTTACGTAATAGATATCGAAGAGATCAGAGGATTTGAATGGATTAAGGGATTTAAAAGGATATCAGGGAATTCACTTTTTCAGCGCCGCAGGCGAAAATTTTGAGAATTTCTAAGGTCTTAGGCCAACAACATTCACTTATTCAGCGCCGCAGGCGAAAATTTTGAGGATTTCTATGGTCTTAGGCCATAAAAAATCACCTTTTCAGCACCGCAGGCGAAAATTTTGAGGATTTCTAAGGTCGTAGGCCGAAAAAATCCACTTTCTCAGCGCCGCAGGCGAAAATTTTTAGAATTTTGGAGTTCAAGCAGCCAGATTTCTTCCATACTCAGCGCGCTGCAGGTAATTTTAGAGGAAATTTTGTCAAAAATATACCCCCAAGAACTAGTTCCAGAACTAGTTCCAAAGCTAGTTCCAGACATTTACTAGTTCCGTAGTTCCAGTTCCAAGCTAGTTCCAGGCATTTACTAGTTCCGTAGTTCTAGTTCCAAACTAGTTCCAGATAATCGTTAGTTCCGTAGTTCTAGTTCCGGAACTGGAACTAGAACTAATTAGTTCCGGAACTGGAACTGGAACTTTGACATCACTGTATCCAATTAATCTCTCAAATTTTAAATTTTTTAAAATAATTCAATTATTATTTCAAAATTTTAAAAATTCCCTAATAAATTTTAAAAACTGTTTCCATTTAAAAATGATAGTTTAATTAAATTATAAATTTGTTAAAACCCCCTATTAGAACGACATCCTTATTTTTATTTAATTATTTACCTTCCAGGCATTTATTGGTTCCGTAGTTCTAGTTCCAAACTAGTTCCAGATAATCGTTAGTTGCGTAGTCTGGAACTGGAACTAATTAGTTCCGGAACTGGAACTTTGACATCACTGGTTACCAATGCTATTAATGAGAAAATTTAAGTATTTTTCTTCATTAATAAAATTATTATAATGATATAAACCTTAATAAAAATTTCATAAACAGTGTAAAAAATAGGTTGAAAAATAGAACGACAGCCTCTATTTGAACGACAGCCCTTAATAAACCGACAGTCTAGAGGGAGGTTGAAATATAAAACGACATGTCGTTCTATTAGAGGAAATACAGTAATTTATTTTAAAAATTATTTCAGACGATACCAAAAATATTTTAAAAAATGCGAGAAAAAAAAGAATTTATTCCAATTAAAAAAGTCAATAAATAATTTAATTAAAATTTTTGTGAAAAATTATTTGAGGTAATTATTTTTTGAGGTAAGAAATATAAAATTGTATTAATGTGGAAAATTGACAGAAAAAAATAATTTTTAAAGAAAAATTTTAGAAAAAAATTATTTTTGGTATTTTGCTAAATAAGTTTGAAGAAATATTAGAAAAAAATTAAGAAAAATATTTTAAAGGTAAAGGGCATGAAATGAGAGTTTTTATCCAGTTTTATTAACAATTCTGACTTTTTAGTAAAGAGAATTTTTCATTTTAATATTTTCATAAAAAATAGATTTTACTAGAAATAATTAATTTTTGAGTTGGAATGTGGATAGAAATGCTTAAAAAGATATGGAAAAAAAGAAAGATTTACATAAATTAATTAATATTAGCAAACATAATTTCATAAAGTAGCGTACTCCGTACAGTAATACCGAAAAAGGGGAGCAGGCCAACGTACCTTAGTGCTACAACTTTGTTCAAAATAGTCAAATCCGGGACGCCTTGTTATGGTTTGATGCATCTCAGCGAGCTGAATCGAACTATATCAGGGCGTCCCGGATTCGACCATTTTGAACGAAGTTATAGCTTGCGGTACGTTGGCCTCGCGGTACGTAGGGGTGTACCACCGAAAAAGACCGATAAATACTAATGAACTTCAAAGTTTTGCCGTACCGTAATACCAACACGAATACCAATAAATACCAAAAATATTGTAGGGAGTACGGTACGGGAACTAATAAATATGTATACCCGAAAAATTTTTTTTACTTCTTCTCAAAAATTTATTTAAATTTCTTTTAACTATAATTGCTTTGTGGATTAATTACTGCTGGAACATTGCTGAATTTTAAATCTCTACATTGAGCAAATTTTATAGGTGGTTCTCCAGCTAGGTTTTCAGTTTTAATTGTATCAAAAACGCTTGATTTTAATTGACTGATTTTTGCTTGAAGCGAATTTTTAATGTTTATATTCTTAAATTCCTGAAAATAAAAAAAAATAAATAATATTTAAATTATTAGATTGTTCGGGGGTTATTTGTTTTTATTAAAATAAACTACAGCGCGGTGCATATGTTTACGGACACTATAAAATTTTTTCTAAATTCTTCATTTTTTATTCAAAATATACGTTCAATACATATATCAATCGAAAGCTCTATTCGTATCTCAGTTGACATGTTTCTTCATTTTTCGTGAAAATAAAAACTGGCCGAGATAATCCGGATCTACCGGATATACTAAATCCTATAGCCCCGTAAAAATTTTTCGGAAAAAATTTAACAAACCCATTTGATAAAGCATATTTTTGTGAGTATTTACCTCAAAACCGCTTAGAGATAACTTTTTCCGGACCAGAGATTAGTGTTATTCACGGTACCGTATTACGGCGGTATTTTTCGGTAATACCGCGGTATTTTTACCGAAATACCGATACCGAATACGGTACCGAACAATTTTAAAAAATCGGTATTTTTTCGGTATCGGTATTTTACCGAAATCGGTATTACGGCGGTATATTTCGGTAATACCGCGGTATTTTTCGGTAATACCGCGGTATTTTTACCGAAATACCGATACCGAATACGGTACCGAACAATTTTTAAAAAATCGGTATTTTTTCGGTATCGGTATTTTACCGGTATTTTACCGAAATACCGATCGGTATTTTACCGAAAATACCGATACCGATACCGAAAAAATGCGTTTGAATAACACTACCAGAAATATGATTTTTTGAAAATGGCATTTTTCCTTTAAAAATTGAATTTTTGCAAAAATAGGCGAAAAATGCCATTTTCAAAAAATCATATCTCTGGTACAGAAAAAGGTATCTCTAAGCGGTTTATTAAAATAAACTATGTATATTTCAAACAAAAAAACTCACAAAACCACTATGCATATTTTCCTGAGTTCCATCAATTTCAATACAACCAGAAGCGTGGTTTGTGTCTATTTGATCTATACTCACATCATTTATTTTTATATCAGTAAAGACTGTCGGAATATCTGCTGGAGGGAAGCTACCCATGTCACCATCAGCATATTTTAATGAAAATTCTAGTGGATATCCGTTAATATTATTTCCAGACAAAGTTTTGCCATTATATGTAAATGAATTTGTTGTTCCAATCCCTTTCATTCCAATATTTCTAATACAAACTCTTCTAACGCCTCCACCTATTTCTTTTTTTGATTTCATTCGAATACCATTATCAGTCATAAGGTGGATATTATCCTTGAAATAATTTTTAATTACTTAAAGCATATTTGAAATTGGAAAAGTTAAGTTCACTCGGGTTGCACACTACCGGTTATTCAGATTGACTCGGACAAGACAAAACACGGACGGACTCGGACAGACCAAACACGGACGGACTCGGACAGACCAAACACGGCAAACACGGACGGACTCGGGTCAGACAAGGCACGGACGGGCTCGGACAGACGTCCGTATTTGGTCTGACCCGAGTCTGTCCGTGTTTTGTTTGTCCGTGTCCATCCGACTCGTTTTTTTCTTTCCATTTTTCTCCATTTTTCCTTTTCATTTTTCCTTTCCTTGCAGGTAATGAAAAAAACGATTCCGCCCTTGTTTTGGGATAGGGCTAAAAAAATTATTTTCAAAAATTTTCGACTTTTAAAATTTCATAAAAACAGTCAATTTTTGCCAGCCAAAAATTGACTAAATTTTCGATTTTAAAGCGGACGTAAATAATTTAGCGAAAATTCATTATTAAGGAAATGAATGAGTTTGTCCCCGAGTAGTCACTCTGTAACTCTAGAATTTTTTACCTCAATAAGGACATCTTGTACCCAATCTCCAAGATTACCACCAAAGGAACATCCATGTGCGTGTCGGAAATAATTATTCCTAATAACAACAAATTCTACAGGCGGAGAATTAGATCTTTTTCCCTGTCCAGTACCCATTGCTATAGCATCATCTCCAGTTTCATAAAAATTACTTAAGATTTGAATATTACTAACATCGCCTAGATCCATTCCATCGCCATTATTTATATCAAAAGTAGTAAAACGAGTATTAATCACAGACTGCAAAAAATGATTTTATAAAATATTTGACTCAGTTTATTTGACTCAGTTCAGTTATCCCACGGAAAATAAAGTGGGTTTTCATTCAATCCTGTTTTGGTTATTACTCTTTTTCTCTTCTCTTCCCCGCTATCAGTCTCTACAAAACAAGGTCTCGCCAAAGCCACTTAGTTAACAATTTTTAATAATTCATTATTATTATGCACCTTTGACCAATTTGTAATATTTTGAAAAAAAAGAGAAAAGAAAATGAGGTCGACTAACTCGTATACATCTACCGTATTTTCTCGATTAATTCCCCTCCCTCGATTAATTCCCCACCTCTCATTTAATTCCCCATGTTAGAGTTGGGTTGAAACAATAATTCCCCTCCCTCGATTAATTCCCCATGCTAGAGTTGGGTTGAAACAATAATTCCCCTCCCTCGATTAATTCCCCACCTCTCATTTAATTCCCCATGCTAGAGTTGGGTTGAAACAATAATTCCCCTCCCTCGATTAATTCCCCATGCTAGAGTTGGGTTGAAACAATAATTCCCCTCCCACGATTAATTCCCCACCTCTCATTTAATTCCCCATGCTAGAGTTGGGTTGAAACAATAATTCCCCTCCCTCGATTAATTCCCCACCTCTCATTTAATTCCCCATGTTAGAGTTGGGTTGAAACAATAATTCCCCTCCCTCGATTAATTCCCCATGCTAGAGTTGGGTTGAAACAATAATTCCCCTCCCTCGATTAATTCCCCACCTCTCATTTAATTCCCCATGCTAGAGTTGGGTTGAAACAATAATTCCCCTCCCTCGATTAATTCCCCATGCTAGAGTTGGGTTGAAACAATAATTCCCCTCCCTCGATTAATTCCCCACCTCTCATTTAATTCCCCATGCTAGAGTTGGGTTGAAACAATAATTCCCCTCCCTCGATTAATTCCCCACCTCTCATTTAATTCCCCATGCTAGAGTTGGGTTGAAACAATAATTCCCCTCCCTCGATTAATTCCCCATGTTAGAGTTGGGTTGAAACAATAATTCCCCTCCCTCGATTAATTCCCCATGCTAGAGTTGGGTTGAAACAATAATTCCCCTCCCTCGATTAATTCCCCATGCTAGAGTTGGGTTGAAACAATAATTCCCCAGGGGAATTAATCAAGAAAATACGTTAAGTCATTATTTTAAATATAATTATTAAAATCCAATGACTCATAAAATTGACTCAAATATTTTTATTTAAAATCTATAAATTACTACATACAACATTACGACTATTTCCAATAGCCATAGTAATCATAGATGGATTTCGAAGGGTTAGGTTGCTGCCTCCAATATGTAAATTTGTAATTCCAAGTAATAATAGTAATGTAGAACGTGCACTCCCATATTTGTCTTTACTTGTTACTTGACTTGCAGCTAAAACCCCATATTGTTTAACTGTTTGTGCTGATCCTTGAACATAATGAGGTAAAGGATTTCCAATTTCATCTATTATTGTAGTGTCTCTTTTCCATCCATTACCATCAATAGTACCCCCACTACTAACAATTCGAATATTTTGAGAATGCAGTTGATCCTTTAAATAAAATAAAATTTTAAAATATATTCTTAAAAAGAAGGATTTTCTGTGGACTTTTTTGATTTGCAAAAGTGTCCAGATTTTCTTTTTAAATCAACAAAAAACCCACAATAACGTTAATTAAAGCTGAAGGCATATTTAATCTCGGAATCATTGGATAGTCATTACTGTTTGGGGAACCTAGCAAGACAGCTCCAGATGCCAATTCCAAAGTCATATTTGATTTTAAAGTTATACTTCCAGTTAGGAAAGTTCCTCTGGGGATTCTAATTTTACAGTCATATGAAGACAGAGAACCAGTAGCACAGCTATCTATGGCATTTTGTATTGCTTTTGTATTCATTGTTTTTCCATCACCTACAGCTCCCACTTTTGATATGTCCACAATCTATTTTAAAATACTAATTAAATATTGTCTTTTATCATTTTTCAAAGTCGATTGGACCTAATTTATAGATACCAGGGCTGGGCTTATTTCGCACTTTCGCGTTTCGCATCTTTCGCATTCTCGCATTTTTCAGCGCGAAAAGTTTCGCATTTCGCTTTTTATTTTGGGATTTTTCTGAACAAATTTCGCAATTTCGCGTTTCGCATCTTTCGCCTTCTCGCATTTTTTGGCTCGAAAAGTTTCGTATTTCGCTTTTTATTTTTAGATTTCGCCCAGCCCTGATAGATACCCTAGGGGTTATAGATACCCCATTAGCTAACTTCATTAAAAAATAAAGCCTAAATTTAGATGTAGCTATTATTGGGTGTTTGTAAAATTGTGATCCGAAAAATTAAAAAAAATTTTCCCTATACCTTTCTATAATTTGTTGGTGTAGTTACAATTAATGGTTTACTATCTTCAGATTCTTCCCCATTAGAAAGAACAGATCGAACAGTAAATGTATATTTTGTTCTAGGCTTTAATCCTTTAACCCAAAAAGTATTAAAAAGAATTTTTGGATAAAATCCTGGCTCATCTTTGAGAAAAGTATCAAAATATCTTCCAACAACACTATTTTGCATTGAATTATTTTTAGAATTTCCAAGCAGCTAAAAACTTAATTTTTACTAATTAAATTTTTTAGTTATTATCCAGTCTATAGTGATGTTCGAGAGTTAAAAAAGCCGAGAGTCGAGACCGAGAATCAACCCCGAGACCTAGAGTCGAGACCGAGAATCAACCACGAGACCGAGAGTCGAGACCGAGAGTCTCGAACATCACTACCAGTCTATGTGTGATACGACCTATCAGTAAGGTCGTATCCGCATTTTTGGGTGCCCAAAGACTTATTATGAGTCTCTTACTTTTTTCACATTTAAATTATATTTCTAACCTATAGATCTTGTATTTAGTTCCTAAGATTAAAATGGTAAATATTTCCAGGTATAAACTAGCTAGTACAGGTATATGAACGTGGGCTCCGGAACAAATTTTAAAACCATAAAAGTTGATTGTATCTATAAACTGAACATTCCAAATTTCCCTGAAAATACCTGTCCATCCTTATAAACATTATAGCCAACAACATCATCAGCAACATCAGGCTGAGTCCAAGTCAAAAAAACTTTACTTGGTTCATATGCAAGAATAGGAACACACAAAGCTTGAGGAACATTAGTTCCAGTTCCAAAACCCGAACAGGAACTATCCACGCCTGAACTTGAACAAAATGGGCTATCTGAACCTTCAGTTGAGGGAGCATCAGCAGGAGAAGGTGGAGAATTATCTCCTTGGTCTTAAAATTTTTTAATAAAAATTTTATATTTCTGAAAGTTAAGTATTTGTTAATTTGTTATATATTTTTTGACCTTGTTCGGAGGTTGTACAGTGGCGGAAATTTACTTAAGACCGATTGAATTTTTTTCTTTAACCTTACTTTTCTCTCCAGCTTTATAGAAATATGAAATAGTCTTTCGGGTATTGAATAGCTCTGATTTCAACCTACCTTTTCTGTAAATTTCTTTAATGTATTACAATTACAACCCAAAAATTTTTAGCAAAAACTTGAAAGTGTGCGCGAAATTTACTTAAGACCGATTTACAATCTTCAAATTTTCTGACTAAAATCAATTAGATGTCGCCATCGTTTTTTTTCTTAATAATACCCAGGCAACGTAGATTCGTAAAATTGACTAAATTAATACTCGCTCATTTGTTATATTTAACCAAGCTTCATCTGACCCACATGAAAAGCTGATCTTGATTTTTGGGGGGTTTTTGACTTAATCTGCTCGTCGACACAAATCCAGAGCATCTCAATTAGATCTAGATTTGTACTTTGGGGTGGCCACTTTATGATTGTCCAACATTTTTCTTCGAAAAAATTTCCTAACTTCCTGGAAGTGTGAAAAAATTACCCTAAGCATTCACCATTCCGACAATTACACTAGGCTTTCAACTCTCCTGAGAAATTTTTTTGATGTCTGTAAAAAATATATGTGATTCTCCTCCAGATCATCATCCAAATCGGTCGAGACATCATCCAAATCGGTCGAGAATCTACCGAGTTATGAATTTTTGAAAATTGAAAAAACGCGATTTTTTGCCATTTTTCGTCAAAAAATCGCATTTTTGCGATTTTCAAAAATTCATAACTCGGTAGAATCTCGACCGATTTGGATGATTTTTTTGTATTGTATGTAGAATCTAGAGGAGAATCACATATATTTTTTACAGACTTCAAAAAAATTTCTCCGAAAAGTTGAAAAAGTAGTACCTGTTAGACCGGTCGAAAAGTTGTCGAAAATATCAGAATTTTGAAAAACGCTGAAACATGTCAACTGAGTCGGAAATCAAGGTATTTTTTAAAATTAAGATCTGCCAGATCGGATAAAAATGAAAGGAATTACATCAAAATATATACCGGTCTTAAGTTAATTGCCGCCACTTATATCCCTCACCTAAGAATAAAAATTAATGGGAATTTATAAAATTTTGTTATATATATTTTTTGGCTGAAACTATTGGATTAAAAGAAGAAAAAAATTCTAAAAAAAGAATAATTTCTAAAAATTTTCATCAAAAATCAACTAAAATATCCAAATAGAAAATCTAAACAAAATTTGAATTTTGTTTTAAACGTCCTAACCTTGTTGAGACGCTGTACAAGGTACTACTCCCTCACCTAAGATATAATTAAATAATTATTTAAACTTTCTAAAAATATTTTTTAAAATAATTTTTAGAAAAAAAGGCTCTTGTCCAGTTTATGCGTCCAATCGACTTTTATGCGTCCAATGAAAGTTTATGCGTCCAATCAAAAGAAAATTGGATTTTTCTTGGTATTGCAAGGTTGGGGTATGGTTCCAAAACATTTATTCATGTTTGGGACCTACGCCCACTGGGTCTGGGACCGTTCCTTGCCCTATCCCCCGAAATTTCTGAAAGTTGTAGCCAATTTTTAAAAATTTCGGAAAAACAATTATAACTTTCCGAAATTTCGGGGGATAGGGCAAGGAACAGTCCCAGACCCAGTGGGCGTAGGTCCCAAACATGAATAAATGTTAAAGAACCCAGCCCTAACTTCAAAATATAAAGAAAAATCCAATTTTCTTTTGATTGGACGCATAAACTTTCAATGGACGCATAAAAGTCGATTGGACGCATAAACTGGACAAGAGCCGAAAAAAATATAATTTAAATTTACTTGTATTATCACCATCCCCATTAATATTTTTTAATAAAAAAATTAATAAAATATTTAATAAAAAAACTTTTTTCATTTTTAAAATTTTCTTTTCAATGAGGAAGGAAAAAATTATAAATAATTTTTAATTTTTGAGTGAATGAGAGAAATAAATTAAAATACTTCCGCTTATATTAAAACTTAAAATACAGGTAGTTTAATAATTTATAAAATTATCCAAAAAAATTTTTTTCAGGTGATTAAATTTTATTTTAAGTAAAAAAATTTAAAAAATCCGAAAAGGGATAAATTTAAACTTAATTTGCGTCATTTAAATGTAATATTTTATTTAAAATTTTATATACCGTATTTATTCTAATTGAATGGCCCCTCTATTTGAATGGCCCCTCCAATTGAATGACACGTTTTTGAGTGCATGAAAAATAGAATGGCCACCTCCATTTGAATGGCCCCCCAATTGAATGGCCCTTTTTAACTTCAAACTATCTAATGCGTATTTCTGTATTCACTTTATTAACTAGTTTAATAATCCTTTTTAGTATGGTAATTGTGATATTTTCGAGGAAGTTTAGAGTCAAAAAATGGTTTAAGAGGGATATCAGGAGATTTGGGAGGATCAAGAGAAATATCAAGAGATTAAAATGATTTCCGAAAATATCGAGGGCTTAAACTTATTAGTGGAGAAAATAATTAGGGATTTATAGATCAGGATTAAGATGGTTATGGAAGGTTTGGAGGGATATAGAGGATTTGAGTGATATCGAGCATACTATGTCTCTTAGAATCTCCCTGATATCAATTTAAACTTACAAATTCATCAATACCTCAAAATCCCTCTAAATACTCTTGATCCCTCTATATCTTGCCCAAATTACACAATACCACAAACTATTAGGACCTAACTGTACCGGAAATTGTTTAACTTCGTTGTTAATCAAATTTGACTTTTTAGCCCGACAGGCATAAAACATTTAAGTTTTATAGTGGAACTGAGAGAAAAATACACTAAACAAATCCGAAATATCGAATTTTAACAATAAAATTCGTTAAAATTTCGAATTCGGAAGATATTATAGATTAGATATTCAATTCATTTAATCTCTATTTTTAACCTATGAAAAATAGAATGGCCCCTCCAATTGAATGACAATTTCTTGGGGTATCGAAAAATAGAATGGCGGCCATTCAATTGGAATAAATACGGTATATAATGTATAATGAATTTTTTATTTTCGTAGATACTGTTCGTAAGCATTCAAACAAAAATTTAATAGACTCCCTTTTTATATAGTATAGTTATCCTGGCTTGAAAGGCTAAGAAAAAGTTCTTGTTGTTTTTGCCTCGTCGGTTAGTGCACATCTCTTTTTGTCTTCCTCGGCTTACGATCTATTCTTTAGGAGCTTAGTTGGAATGATCATCAACTAGCTTAATAGCTCACAGTCCATGCCGAAGTAAAGCAGCTGGGAGCGAACCAGCATCTTCAGTAGACCGGATTGATGTGTTAGCCATTACACCACGCCGCCTACTGCATAGCCTTAGGAATTAAATAGGTATATGCTTTACACCGACAATAATTTTAATTTTGTTTCTAACTCGAGACTTGCCTATACACCAGGGGTGGCGCAAGTGCCACATAATACGAGACATGAGATTCACGAGATACGATATTCCCAAAAAACACGAGATTTCACGAGATACGAGACGAGCGCCACCCCTGCTAGACACTATCTTTTGTCCGCATGGATGGATCAAGATGGATAACCCATTTTTTGAAAATTTTTCATAACTTTTGATAAAATTATTTGTTTGCTAAAATTTTTTGTACTAAATATAAGGTAATTTTTGATGCTGAATCAAATAGAAAGAAGATTATAAAAATCAAACAATCGTAGAACGACTTTTCCAAAAAATTTGGGGGTGTCTAGGTATTTTGGAACGGACTTTATATGTGTAAGATGATTATCGAGGATGGGCAGATTTTCGCTATTTTAGCCTCTTTGTTTCAGAGAAGTTTTGTAATTTGTTTTTTGTTTTTTAAGAAAAAATCTACATTAATTATCAACAATCAACCCCATATTTACCGTGACTTTCCCAACAAAGAAATTGATTTCTCTAAATGATTAATACAAATAAATTAAAAGAAAAAAAATATTTTTTAGCAAATATAAGTAATGTAAATTTACTTTCTTTTTACGAAAAAAAATAAATTTATTTTCTATTGATCTTGAATATTTTTAATAAAACTAATAGCTTCTGATAACTAAATTATCAAAAATTATCAATTTTTATTAAATTAAATATCACAATTTTATTTCCAAAAAATGTTCCTTTTTGTTTATGGAACATTACGTCGTGGTTTTAACAACAAAAATTCAGAAAAATTAAATTTTTTATCTAAATGGATGGGTAAAGCTATTGTTCCAAATGCAAAATTATATTATATAAAGGGGGATGAATTTGATTATCCAGCTATGGTTTTGAATTATAATGATGGAAGAGACAATGATGGAGATGAAGTTAAACAAGTAGATAATTCTTATTTGAATTTTATATTTGATGAATAGATAGGGAAACCTATAGGAGGGTTGGCTGATCAGGATTCCGGATCCGAGAAGGTCCGGATACTCACAATTTCGGTTATGATGAATTTAAATTTTATTTTACCAGTTAAGAAAAGTTAGCTATTTTGCTCCGTAGGCAAAAAACTAACAAAATAATGAGCATTTTACAATTTGTGACATTTTGATTCAATTATTAATAAAATTTAGTCGTTATATGTAGTTTTGTCGGTTCTTGGAAAATCTTCAATATCCGGTCCAAACTGATATCCGAACTAAAAATCATCAGTTTATCGCTTCGTTTCGGTCCAGAACCGACAACCCTAGATGTACTATGAGTAAAATAATAAAAAATCTACATATCACCATTTGAATTTTTAAAATTATTTGGTTAAATATTTTTTTTCAGCTTGTATAATTCTTGTTAATAAAGTTGTCCAAAAGAACTCGGAATATTTAGCCTTTTTGGCAATTCCCAATCCAAAAGATCCCTTCCCCTCCCCCTTAAAATAAAAGTTTTAATTAATATTTAATTCCAGACTTGTTCAACTACCTCTGTAATCGGGGATGTTTTTCAATTACTCGATCCAGAATCAACTTTTGTTTGGTTAGATGAATATGAAGAATGTGGACCAGAAAGCCCTCCCCCACCCGAATATCTAAGAAAACAAATAAAAGTTAGGTTAATTGAGGATAAAAATGGAATGAAAATTAATGAAAATTGTTGGATAAGTGTAAATACTTATATTTGGAACTGGCCTGTAAAGAATGAAAATGGGGATTTAATAGCGCCTGTTGTTGAATGTATTGAAAGTGGAGATTGGTTATTACATACAAATAATAAAAATAAATAAATATTTTTTAATTATTTCTAATTTTTAAATTGCGGAACGGTGGACGGGATTTGAACCTATGAGCTCTCCGATTCAAGATTGTTAGCCGCTCTAGTAGCCCAACACTTACTTATCGTTTTCATTTTTCCTTAATTTGTTAGGCTGTAAGTAGAGTTGGCAAATCCTAAAACCATCTGGATATCTGGACATTTTCGGTTCGGATGAGGAATCAGGATATCCGCGAAGTTCCTAGGGTCCGCAAAGTTCCTTAAAGTTCCTACCAAGTAGGGGGAATCTTTACCGGTCTTACATGAATAAAATGACCAAAAATATTTTTCATTTAAAATATTCTTCATCTATCTACATAGTATTTTAATTTATTTCTAAATTAATAGCAAAACTGAAGGGGGGTGAATGCATATTTTTAGTTAATGATGATTAATACATAAACAAACTACTTTTTGTTATTTTTATATTTTTTACAAAAATTATTTATTTTAATTTAGTTTTCTATTTTTAATTTATTTATAAATTTTCTAAAAAATTTATATTATAATCGGGGCTGTCCACAGCCAATTTTGAAACTAAATCTTGAAAAAAATTCGGAATAGTGACCGACTTTTTAAAAAATTTTCTAAAATAAAGCAATCGAAAACCAAGTTAAAAATCATAGTAAATCAAGGATATTTTCAGCCCTGTTCCCGTATCCCTCACATATACGGGTGCCACACATATCCCCCACATTTCATATCTCTCGGATATTCGCGTTATCCATCCACTAATATATCCGAGTTTAGATAACAAAATCTGTAACCGTGCCATGTCTGTAGAATAGGGCAGGTTGCCCGAAACCTGCACTTTTTTCTAAACGAAACGGACCCGATTTTTCTCAACCAATCCATTTTTGCTGTACATATATTTTAATAATCGGTTGTTAAAGCGGCACTTTTTAAAGCTACAATCTTCATAAATGAGTAATTTCCTCCAACCCAAAGATACTTTTAAAATTCATAAAATATCATCGACAACATCATCTTCACCTTTTCAACTCAAAAAATTATTTCTTAAACCTCGTATTTGGGGATTTTTAATTATTATTTTATTAATTTTCTTAATTATTTTATGTTCTTATAAAATAGAAAATTCACCAAATAATTATGTAAAAATCGACAAATTAAATATTATTCAATTTGTTAAGATGGAAGTTAAATCTGAAGGAAATGAGGAGTCGAAAAAGGATAAAGATAAAGGTAATTTTAATAATATAATTGACAAAAATAAATAAGTCAGTTCTTCTCTAGGAAGATAAGAATACTAAGATAAATAAGAATACCTTACGAAGATGAGCCAACCCGAATCCCAGACACGAAACCCGTAACTCAGACTTTTCTCGATCCGGCCCAAAACTGCCTTTTTCTACAATCCGGCCATACCTGAAGCCTTAGTCAACTCTCGCAAAAAATTTATTTACCGAGTTTCAGAGTTGATACGTTTCAGCTTGGTCAATTTAATCCAAGATTAACTCATTGACTTTGTTCTTTCGGGAAAAACCCTGGAACATAGACATAGATCTATGTTTCAAACAATATATTTAAAGTGTAAATAGTTTAAATGATCAGACCGTCAAAATTTTTAGAAAAATTTACAAAAATTTTATTCAAGTTAAAAATTAAAAAATACTATATTCAATTTTAGAATACCTACAAATGAATGATAAAGATAAGTTCAATCAACAATTAAATGAAGATAAATACAGAATGTTGTATAAATATCAAAAAATTGATAAAGATTTGAATTAAAATAATTTTAAAAAATGTTAATTTAATGTTAAATTATAAATTACCATTATAAAATTTTATATATGAAATTAAAGTTATAAGAAAGAATAAGAGAATATCTCTTCAATTTTTTATCATTTTATAATTATAAATCCTTCATTCCTCATTTTTTCATTCCTCATTTTCTCCCTTCACTTCTCATTTTTTCTCATGCCTTGCATTATTCCCGAAACGAATTCTCGAAGTTATTCTTGAACTACTACTTGATCCGTTTTGTGTATGGGACGATGAAGCATAAACATAACCTCTCCCTCCATCAATGTGTTGAAGTGTGTCTTGTTGGGCAATTTGCGTTCCATCTGTGCGAACTTCATTACGTAAAAGCGTTGCTCCATCCCCTCCTGGATGAGTCAATAAATATGCTTCTCGAGTGCCTGGTTGCATGCCTCGAAGATGCTGTGTTCCAACAGTAAATGATGTATGTCTTCCACGTTCAGAGCTTGTAAAAGTGAAATTAACTGAAGGAGGAACTTGATAATTAGCTTCTTCGACAGGAATATCTCTATGATTTTCTTCTCCCATGACAGGAACACTGAATGTATCATCTTCTTCAATAATACCAGCTCTTGGACCTCTAGTAGGAAGAACTCTTTGATGATTTCCTCCTCTAATAGGAATGTCTCTTGTACGATTTTCTTCTCCCCTGACAGGAACACTTCTTGGACGATTTCCAGCAGGAATGCCTCTTGTATGATTTCCTTCTCTAATAGGAATATTTCGTGCATGATTTTCCTCTCGCATGACAGGAACATTTATTGTATTATCTTGAACAGGAACAGTCCTTGGATAATCTTCCTCTCTGATTGGAACTCTTGCATCGTCTCCTATGGGAATATTTCTTGCTCTATTAGGGCGACGAGTATCAGTTCCTCTAAAATGGTTTTCTTGATTATTTGCTCGATTGCTATGGTCTTGTTGATTGACATTCACATTTGTTTGTGGATTTGAGCGATTATTATTATTTGATTCTCTTCCATTCTGCATATTCATTCCATTCTGATTTCCATCACGACGGTCTCTAGCAGCATTAACAGCATTTCGAATTGGTGAACTAGGCCTTGCTCCACGAGTGATGATATTAGCAATATCTTCTTCTTTAAAGTTAGAATAAAAATTACTTATTTGATTGTCAAATATAATTAAAGAAATTATAAAATGCCCAAAAAATTTAAATTTTAGGACAAGTCTAAATAAATACACTCAATACTAGATACAACACTAAATTTATCATTTTTAGGCTCCCATCCTACCTAAAAAATGCCTAAAAAGTAAGTCGAGGGAATATGAATGTAACCTCATCATCCAATAATAGATACAGTAAAGCAGTATAGCTATTTCTCTCCTTTAGCAAGTGCAAATGGTTAATCGGCGGCTGGGAGCGAAATCTTCAGTAGACCGAACTGATGTGTTAGCCATTACACCACGCCGCCTGCTGCATAGCCTTAGCAATTAAATAGCTTTTCTCCCCGTGGTTAGCTTTACAATACAAACTTTGGATGTCGGATTTGCTTAAGCAATACCCTCTACATCTTAAGATAAAAATATTTAGTCCCAAATTGTACCTTTTCGGTTGAATTAAAAAATTATAAAAATTATTTTTATTAAATTTTAATAACCAGTAAAATCATTTCCAAAATAATGAACATAACCCTCCGCATCTGTAAATGATCTAAAGGAATCGAGATTAAGATGGTGATTTTCTGCTCGACGATTAATATTTCCTCCCCCATTTTGACCTGTATTTGGATTCATTGTAAATATCCAAACAAAATTTGAAAGAAAATTAAATAAAAAGAAGATTGAAGAATTGGACATTCCGGGCATTTTTTTTAATTTTTATTTATTTTAATAATTTTAATTTTAATAATTTTTTTAAATTAATTTTTAAAAAATGGATAATTTTAAAAGAAAAAGAAGCATATTTAAATAATAATTTTCTTTTTCAAATTTGCCCAATTCTTTGAATTTTCCCTTTCAAATTTGCCCTTTTACTTTGAAAATATTTTTTTGTTTTATTTTTTATTGAATATATTTCTAAATTAATTTGCCGACAAAACATTTAAAAAATTTTTTTACCCTGTTCCGGTCTCTAATAAAAGGGCAAATATGACGAAAAATTTAAAAAAAAGCCGACAAATGCACTAATAGCAATAATTTGTCAATAAGCAATACACATGATTTTTTATTTATTTATTAAAGTGCAACTTTTAAGAAATTTTATTTTTAAATAAAAGTGCATTGAATGACTTGATTTCGCAATTTTAAATATTTTATTTATTTTATTTATTTTATTTATATGTATGTATAAAAAACATCCATCAAAGTTGGAATCCTCTTACATGTTTGGAAGATGTTGAAACTTTTAAATAATTGCCCATCTTTTTACAGGGTGCGGCAAATTTGGCGATTATCAATTTTCGTTTAAAATTAAAAAAGTTATAGCCAAAACAAATCGCGCGCCAAATTTGCCTCACCCTGTAAATACCCCTTGGGGTGAAGAATTATTAAATAATTAAATTTATCCATTTCAGAAATTCAAAATTGATTTTTTATATCGAACAATTATCTGTATGTGCGATGATGTTAGTCCGGGGACGGCAATAGGTCTGATGGTATATACAAATTTATTCTCCAAACATGCGCAACTCAACTACTACTCATTTTAATGAATTTAAAATTATCAGCTCCCTCCACTTTTAAAAAAACTTTTTTGCAGCTTTTAACTCGTTATGTAAGGGAGATTTGATTAATTTTCACTTTCCGTATAATCTCTATTAGAATTAGAGATCGGAATTTTGAAAAAACCGGGTCCGGGAACCAGGAAACGGGTTCTGAAAGTTGACCGGGAAGGACCAGGACTAGGAAAACCAGGAATTCCTGTACCCGGTTTCATCCCGGTTTCCTTAAAAAAAGACCAGAAACCCGGGAAACGGGTCCGGGTTCCGGCCCCGTATAATCTCTATTAGTATCCCTCTTCAGTTGAATATCCTGCTTTAATGGAATGCCCCTTTTGAAGTTTATTTATTTTTCGTATTATTATCTAAAATCGTCGTTTTCCTGTGTGTAAAATTATTATTAACAGGTACACTATGTACATAATTAATTTAATTTTTCTAAAAATTTTAAATAATAAATTTTCAATGACGTCCAATTATTTTTTCTGATTATTAAATATAAATATTATTTTACTTTTTATTTCAGAATTATTTCAATATTTAATTAACGTCTTTAAAAAAGCATATGTTTCAACATTTATTAAGCATTTCTTAGAATTACAAAGAGCTATATAAATAATTATTTATTATTAAATTAATTTTTTTACTTTCTTTATTAATGAGATTATTTTCTTCTTAATTTTTTAAAAATCACCTGGAAAAATTTTTTTTCTAAGAAAATGTATTCATTAATAAATGTCTAATATACCAATTAAATAAATTACAATTTAAAGAAAAATCAGCTGCTTTTATTAACTTTTATTTTAAATTAATTTTTATTTAATAAAATAAATAATTTAATAAATAAATTTAATAAACGAAAATTTTATGTTTCTGTGAATAATTCTAAAATAAAAAATTCAATTTATTTTATTAAATATTTAATTTTTTTTAAATTTAATTTCCGTATTTACTCAAATAGTTTTTTCAGCCAGGGGTTGAGAAAATATTTACCCCCTTAAAAATAGTTATATTAGACTTTCTATAACCTTGAATGATTACCTCTCCTCTATTAATTAGCCCCCGTAGAGTGGGATTAAAATAATAATTACCCAGGGTAATAATTTGAGTAAATACTAGGGTTCGATATTACAGGGCAAGGGCTGAGTTTACGGAGAACGGGCGGGGAATTGGTATTCGGGAACGGGAAATTCGAGCCGCGGGGACGGGGTCGGGGTTCTGGGGGAGACCTCCCCCATTGCCCGGGGAATTCCCTGCCCCGGGGAACGAGGATTGAACAATGTAAACTACAGTATTTATTATTTTTAAAATTTAATTGAAGTAAGATGGTTCAAACTTATCTTTTCATTGGGTATACAATATTTGAGTGGATAACTATTGTCTTGTATATTCGACTAATTTATGTTTTGTTTACTGATAAATTGTTTAATGGAACATTTTATCGTTTCATTATAATTATTGGAATTTCGGTAAATTTAAAAATATTTTGGCAACTTTCCGGAAGTTGAATATTGGATTTTCTTTTTTATAAAGCTGAGCTTGTTTGGGAAAAGCTTCGTAGGATCGGAAGCGCTCTGCTAAATAAGAGATAGCGCTCTGACAAACTAACTAACATAGTATGTAGTTTCTTTGCTATTATAGCTTTTTATGATGTCAAATAATAATTAATATATACTATAATAATGGCACAGTCAGTTAGTTGTAAGGTTGGCGGATAGTTGGAACTCTTCGGATATCCGGATCCGATATCCAAACTGAAAATTTCTGATGTGCGATCCGGATCCGAAATTTTGGATATCCGGATCCGATATCCTTACCGAAAGGATATCAGATCGGATCTGGATTCTAGATCCGCCAACCATAGTCAGTTCTGCTTCGGTTTGGGCTCATTCCATTCCATGAATGTTCTACATATTCTACCAACGAATTTTACAATGAATATTCCCAACGCATGAACATAATAGAATCCGATCAAAGTTTTGAAACCCAATGAAAATCCAATAGTTTTAATCTCGTGTGCCGAATAAGTATCTTGAATTTCTCTAATTTTCTGATAATTTTTAAATTTTTTAAAGAATCTATTAAATTATCTGATGGTGTTTTTCTTCTATAATTTGCCAGTGTTTGATCCACTTGCCCCCCTTTTTGACTACTTTCCTTCTGGTTATTCGATTGGAATAATTGATTTTATAGTTTTTTATACTGCTTTTCAACAAGATATTCTATATACTTCGATTTGTTTAAATATATTTACAGCTGTATGGGAACCTTTTAAACAACAATCCGTTAGATTTTTTAAATTTTTATTCGGGTGTAGTATAGCTTCTTAAAGAACCGATCTGTTCTTAGCTTTTCGGTCTCAGTTTCCAGAGGAAATCTCAGTTCCACAACGCTTTTTGTACAACATAACAGATCTGTTTTAGATTGTTTCCCTTTTATCACAAAAAATTAAAAACAGAGAAGTGGCAGTCATCGATGTTAGCGTAAAAATCTGTTAAGGATCCTGCCATTGAGCACATGATTATGTGTAATGTCTCAGAAAAATAAAAAAATAATGCCGACAATTCATATTGAACGGATATCAACTTTTTTAATTTAAAAATATTTTTAAAATTAAAGCGTTGGAAGAAATGGTGGATTTGGCATGTTTTATTTGCACATATTGTACCCTTACCATTAACAATTCATATATTGTTTTCAATCTTATAATTATGACTGCTGTAATGACTGCAATGCTTACAACATCTCTACTATATCAGGTAACATTGTGAAGGGGTTTTCACATAGCTAGTTTACTAAACGGGGGTTTAGGATCTAGTAAGTACTATTAAAAGAGAGGGTGCTGAGGTAAAACACTTATTGTTAGATTAATCTTCTATAAATAAGGTAAACGAAGGGACACCCTGGATAGAGAGGCAAACCTCAGCGGGATGTTTAAATGTATCGAACTGGGCATCCGCTTCATCCTTCCTACTTGCGGCCATCCTTAGCCAACGCCCTATAAATAGCTCTAACTGAAAATTCATCCTTACAAATATCTACAGTACTTGATATCAACTATATTAGTTTATCTATAGCAATAACCCAGCTATACAAAATTATACATTAATCTAAATTTTAGTTGCTATACTACCTATTAAAAGATGGAAAACCTTTAGCAACTTTACTTGGAAATTACCAAAATATCGATATGGTATTTGAACTACTTTGGAATCAACTTCCATGGGTGAATGATTTAAGAGCTTTATCACATCCATGGCTACTTGTTGCACTTTGTGAGGATGTTCGTCAAAAGAGTGTTGGCGGATTGTTGCGATTCAGCAAGACATGGAAAACTAAAGTTGAGCCGATACAGTCAGTAAATGTTAAAACTGTTTAATTTCAAATATTAAAAGACAATTTAAATGATTGAATCAAGTGATATATGTTCTGAAAAATTAGTATAAAGTGTGTTTATTATATAAATGTTTGAATTTTATAGCATTATACTGTAATTTACGGAGTCGGATATGAATGTCTGGATATATTTTCGGTTCTGTTTTTAGATATCCGGAGATTTCCCAGGATTCGCTAAACCTATTTGTTATTCCACATCCGTTGAGATAATGGTCTACCAGCAATAAGTGGTGTTTAATGACGAGGAAAAGTATAAAATCTTAAAACAATCAGAGAAAAAACTAGAAAACATTGCCAAATTTTTTTAATTGAACAGCCGGCCCTAATAGGGCGAGCATTTGAGGATTTGAAAAATATAACGGCCGGTCGGTCTCTTAAAGAAAATACTGTTTAATTAAATATTATAAGAATTTCAGCTAAAAAGTATTTAAATTATAATATTTGGTATAGTTTATTCAAAATTATTTTAGACAACAACCACATATTATTATTTTAATTAAATTTTTAAATAAATTCTTTTTCTTCATTTTCCTCAATTTCTGTTTGTCCAAAATCCCTTTTCCCTCCCTTTTTGCCTAACAATTCAATACTTTCAATTTTAATTCCAAGACTTGAAGATTTTGTCATATCATAAATTGTTAGCGCTGCCAAAGAACATCCAACCTTTAACAAAATTTTTAAACATTTTTTAAAAATTCTTAAGAAACCATTGCTTCCATTTCTACCCCAGTTTTAGCCTCTACAGCTTTTGCGCGAGACAAAACAATTATTTTATTGTTTGGTCTATCAATTTTAAAATATATACGAATTGAAGTTAAAGGTATTTGATGACATAAAGGAATTAATTGAAAAGTTTGTTTGGCTGCTAGAATACCGGCAATGCGAGAAACCTTGAATTTTTGTAAAAGAAAATTTTTTATTTGGCTCTGTATGAGTCCAATGAAGATTAAGAGGAAAAAATCGGATCGAGCCGAATTTTATTAAAAAATCTCGGTCGATTTTCCAGCCTTTAGTTCACAAATTACATTAAAGAATGACCATCTTACGAAACTTAGTTTTGGATAGTCTTAATTAAAGACCGGATTGAGCGAGATCTCGAAGATTTTTCAAGATAGATCGAGATTTTTTGAGTTATCTAGTACAATACAAATTAGCATACCGAAAAATGTTAGCAGAAATTTTTGAATACTACTGAAGTAAAACTCTCGCAGATGATTTCACTAGTAATATCATTAGTTCTACTATCTTAGGGAACGCATAAGCTCTCATAAAGCATAGACTTTGAAGACGTTTTAAATTAGAGAACGGACTTGAAGAATTCCAAGATAAATATCTCAAAAAATCTTGACTCTTGATACACAAGAATCTTTATCAAAATCTTCATTGGACTCCTCGAATATATTTAATTTTTAAATTTTACAGCAAAAATATCTCCTTTTTTATTTTTATTTTCCAACAAATTATCCAAAATTCCAACAGGAAAATTTATTATAGCTTTAGCAATTGCTATTCTTTCAGAGCTTGGAGGTTTACTTCCAACATCAACCATTATTGCATCACCTCTTTTTTCATCAATATGAGTAAATAAAATATTTTCATCTTTTTTGTATGTTGAGTAGAAACGTGGAACTGATGAGAGAATTTAACAAAAATTTATGGATTTTTTTTAAAAAAGAATGATTTTTTGTTAAATTTTGTTAGATTTTTGATTGTCTGACCCTACTCAAAAATCGCAAAAATTTTTTTTATTAAATTTAAAAAACTTTGGTTCAACTTTTGAAAAAGTTAGATCGGAGCTAGACAAGACCTCGTACAGATTATTTACCGAGATATACTTATTTTTCGAGATCTCTATTCGATTTTTTTTGATTAAATAATTTTACTCTGAGAGCATCTCACAATAGTATATCTATCATCTTAAACTCGACTCTTGAATGGATTTCAAACGGTCAAAAGGAGTGAAATCTTGCAGAATTAATCCTGGAAATCCTGCACATTCGTCATTTTAAAAAACTGGGATTTTGAGATGGAATCTCGAAAAATCCGTCAAGGGAACTCTCTTGCGCCTATCGATATCTAGTTGGTGATCGAGATAGACCTGGAACAAGGCCTGGGTTTTCCTGGACTACAGGCCTAGACTTCGGCACAGGTCAATAAATTAAACCAGGAACTTTGGAACAGACCCAGACATTTCAAAAATTTCGATCACTATATCTAATACACAGCTGCTAAGACAATTTTTAAATTTTTGTATAAAATTAATTTACTGATTAAAAATTAAATGATAATTAAAAATATGTATAAACACCGTTTAAAGATGTTAAAGAATTATTTATCCCCCAATGTGAACCATTGGCCTTGAACCAGGAAGTGTATCTGCCATTTGAATAAGCTTTTCCAGCCCGGCATGTCTCGCCGCTTTTCTTTGAACTGCTTTTCCAATCATTTCCAACAATTTTTGATTGTCTGCCCCACTCAGAAAAGAAATTTTTTTGGGAAATTTTTTAATTAAATAATTTTACTCTGAGAGCATCTCTCAATGAAATTTCAGAAAGGCCATGCAAACAGACCCAAAATAAATTGAATATTTAATTTAAATACTAAAAATTAATTAATTGCCTTCAAATTGCCATCTGCTGTTATTCTTAAACGATTGCATCCACTATTTAATAAAAAAATATTTTTGAGAAAATACATATTTTTTCAACTTGATTAAATTATTGACATGCAAAACCCGGACTATGACAGCGCAAAGCCATAACCTGCTGGAAAATTTCTGGCCATTATCAATTTTGATACCAATTTCTTTAGCTCGGTGAGTGAAATCGTCTAATACTAAATTTGTTATGGCTTTGCGCCGTTATGACCGCGCGCCTACTTTGTTGTACCTGCCAAACCCTTAGCTAGAGATATATTGTATTGTGTCCCAAACGCTCAGGTTTTGAATGTATACAGGGTTTAGTAGTCAGGGATGATTGATCAGGGATGATTTTGAGTCATTGTTTGGGGCAAGTTTGGTTACAACACTAGATAACATTTATAATTTATATAAACTTACCCACAAAAATGTTCACTCATACTAGAAATAAATCCAAATTTGCCAACAAATCCTTTAACTTGATATGACTAAAAAATATATACAGTCGTACCTCATTTTTAGATAACCTCATAGAGCTTATAAGAAATCTTACCACATAATTAGTGTTATCTTTAGGAAAGTCTTCGTTTTATTCGGTATATTAAATTGGGAATGTCGTTTATCCACCCAGAAATTTTAAAATCCCAATGCAGTACCTAATTTTGAATGGATCCAAAAATGAGGTTGTCGGATCCGAATATCCGGATCCGGAAAAAGGATGGATATACGGAAATTTTCAGTTCGGATATCGGATCCGGATATCCGAAGATTTCCAAATATCCGACAACATCACAATAAATGAGGTTTGACTGTATGTATTTATGAAAGATTTTCTTTAATTTGAAAGAATTTACTTTGCTAGTTTCATTAGGTCCATCAGTTAATCTCTCAATATTTTCAATTCCATAATATTTCCCAATATTTTCCAACATTTCTCTATAGGACACAAATTTCTTCATTTCATAATTATTGCCAGCAAAGGGCATAAATTCAATAAAACGAATATTAAATGATAATTCTCTTCCAATTTCTACTAAGGAAATTACTTCTTTTTCGTTTATTCCACGGATTACTACACAATTTATTTTGACTTTTCCTTTAGGCATTAATTGTTCGGAAAGGATTAATCCACGCCAAACTTTTTGAAAACCGTCACGACGCGTAATCTTTATAAAATAAATATTAGAGAGGTGCTAGAGCGAAGAGCTTATAGAAACACAGGATTTTTATCCAAAACTTCGGAGTTATCCCCAAAGCCCTATAAAACCCGAAAAAAGAAAATAGTTTTAATATACCATTTAAATTAGCTAATTATCAAGTGTTACCCCATAAACCCTGCCTTTTTTGCCTGAAAAAGGACACACAAAATGGGAATTTTTCAAATATAATAGAAAATCCCTATGATTTCATGTCTTATTTCATTCTTCATCCTAAAAGACTCGTACAAAAAAATATATGGAAAAATATTATTTGGAAAAAATAAAATTAAATTTTTAAAATAAAATTAAAAATAAAATTAAAATAAATTTTTCCTCAAATTTTGGAAAAAATTGTGATTTTGGGTTAACACGAAAAAATATAAATTATAATTTCCCCGAAAACTACTATATTTCGAGGCATCTTTATAGGGTTGCTTTAATTCCCCTTTTTAAATAAGAATAATTCTAAAACACCTCAGCATATTTTTGAGCAGATAATGAATCTAACGAAACTAAAATAATATTTAGATTATTTTTATAATTCATCCCAAATATCCCAACCATTTAAATTAGTCAATCCAGCATCAATTAAAGGTTTAATCATTCTATTTAAAACAATCCCATTTGTTGTAATACCTATTTCTTGAATTCCATCAATTTTAGACAATTCACCTTTATTAATGAAAATATTATGTATTTACAAAATTTTATAGTCTTTTTAGAATTTTTAAAGAGTTTCCGGTCAACTATCGGAACCCTTAAAAATTATAATTGTTCGCGATAGGTTATTAACGGTACTCCTTCGTTTGCTTGAGGTGAGGTGGGGTCAATGATTTTCTAAAGCACTCATTTTTAAAAATTAAGGGTTTCTATAGTAAAGCAGAGCTGGGCTATACATAACTATTTCTCTCCTTCAGCTAACACCACGCCGCTTACTGCACAGCCTTAGGAATTAAATAGCTATATGTATGCTTAACACTATTCTTAAATTATCTTATATTACTTTAAATTAAAAATTAATAAAGATAACTTACTAACAATTTCTACCAAATCTATCAAATAAAATTAATTAATTTTTTAATTAATAATTATCCACACCTTTTCTAATTGTTGGTTCACCACCAGTTAATCTTATTTTATTTACTCCTTCAAACGCAAATAGTTTAGCAAGGCGAATAATTTCTTCCTTGGTTAACTGGTCAGAAGAGGGTGTTAATTTAACACCCTCCTCAGGCATACAATATTTACCTTTGAATTTAATTTATTTAAAAAACTAAAGAAGGGGTGGATGGCCGTCGCTAATTATTACCTAAATATTTTACATTCTTCATTATTATCTCAGTTTTCAAAATTTAAATAGTTAAGACAAATATCATTAACTACATTTTTTTGATTTTTCATTACCTTTTACTTTTAACTCTAAAACAATATCCGATTATTTATCTGCAATACCAAAATTTTTCTTTATAAACTCTTTTAGTTTAACTAAATCTAATAGAGCGGCCTTTAAAGTGTGGATTGAAATAAAGAGCTGCCGGCCTCTCTATCAGAAAAATCTGAATATTTTAGTATCGCTCGTTTCACATGTTCTCGAAAAGCTACCATTTTTGTAGATCTTTCAAGAACTCCACTCCAAAAATGAGTAAATGCTTACAGTTGTAGGACGTGGAATAGAATTTTTGTATTAGGTAATTTAGAGGGGAAATCAGGAGACTTGACTTGGAGGCTTGGAGGTTCGTACAGGACGTAGGAGAGAATTTTTGTAAAAATTCAGGGGGAATCAGGAAACTTGACTTGTAGAGTCGGAGAGTCTCTTACGAGAATCGAGATCGTTATCTCAAAAAATATTATTTCAAAAACCGAAGTTTCTGTTCGAGATCTCGTCTAACTCCGATCACTAATTAAATACGAAAAAATCTTTTTAAAAGACTTACAACGTAAATTACATTTTTCAACAATTGAAATTCTCAAATAATTATGGAAACGTCCAAAAGAGTCAATTAAAGAAGAATTTTCTTTAAAATTTTGTTTTACTTCATTTTTAATTAAATTTGTAGTTGAAAAATATTTATATTGAAATTTTAAATTATTATTATTAATTAATTTAATTATTTGATTATTAACAAAAAATAATATTTTTTTATTATTTATCATATTTTTCTAGATTTAATTTTGAAGAAAAATAAATAAATGTAGTAATAAAATAATTAATTTACTATTAAGTCTATTGATTTGTACTGATTGATAGTAAAAAAATAATAAAAAAAATAGATATGTTCAATGTTTTAAAGAAATATGTAACTTTCATTACATATTAATGATAAGAGATTTTTTTAGTTTTATGTACATTAAAAATTAATCATAAAATTATGGATCATAAAAGTTGATTGAGATGTGAAATTGAGAGATACTTTCTAAAAAAAAGGTAAAAATTGGAAAACGGTAAGAGGAATACTGAAGAATAACCTAAACTGAGGAAGGAGTTAATTCTGTGGTTATATAAAAAAAGTTCAAAGGAAAGAATCTAGAAAAAGTTTAGCCAACGGGCATCATTTGAACTATGACAATGTTTGCTCACACAGATACAGGTGCTCTACCACTGAACTAACGGGGCATTGACCAATGCTTTTTCTTTTTCCAGTTTAGATCGTTTAACCCTCGCCTAAGCGTTTCAAATGCTCTAGGTACATAGATCATCCTAACTATGAAAAATTCTAAATTCTGAAATAAGGATGAAAGTCGAACAAAAATAGGTGGATTAAAAAGATGATGCTGAACAGACAAGAATAATGCAGTAAAAGGAAGATTTCTACTTCGGGATTTAAACAACTATATTATTAATTGTTATTCACTTGGACTAATTAAATACTCTTTAGAATTTTTTAAAATAATTTTAAAAAATATAACAATGTTTTAATAAATTAAAAAAGGCTCTAAAAACAAATCACAAAAATGCTGCTTCTTAAAAATTTTTCTATTAAATTCTAAAAATAATTAATATTTTCTCTAAAAGATTCAATCGGAAATGCAGCTCGATGTTTATCCATATACGAAAGAAAATCCTCTCCATAGGCTAAACAACATTGAAGCAAAGCTTCAGCGTCTCCCTGTGCTCTATGTGAAGAGAATAAACCGGTGACAAAAAACTGGAAAAATTTTTTTTTAATTTTTTGGAATTTCTAAAAAAATTTTAAACTCGTTCTTGTAATGCCAAAAGTGTTCTCTTCCCTCTCCCAACACTTTCACGTTTAGCCTGATGTGAATTAAAATCCCAATTTCCTTCTCTATTTCGACTAAAATTCTTAATTTTAATTTTAAAAAATTTTAATTTATCCACCCAAAATATTGTGAATTTATTCTCCTTCGCTTAGCTGGACTCCAACTTTCTGTACGCATAAATGTAACGGGTGTTGTTGGTTGATTACTAGCACTTGTACTACTTCCAAAAAGGCATCTTTTTGCTCTTAAGATTTATTTTTTGATTAAAATTTTATTTTTATCATGATTAAATACTTTCTGAAAGGATCAGCTCAAAATATAATATAGAAAGGATATAGAAAAATTAGTTTCCAGTAACTCGATTAAATATTAAAATCATGTAACTTTAGTGTTACGTCGAAGGTTTTTGTTCTAATTTATTAAAAATACTACATAGATTTTCTGGTTACGCCAACTATTAGGTGCGGACATAATTAGTGGCCGTTTTTTTCTATTAAATTTTTAGAGGTTTTATTTTACAAATTTTCTTTTTTCTTATTAACCAACATAAAGATCTGAATCTACTCTTCATTTTATTACCACGTTTAGCTATATATGGTTGATATTCATAAAGTTATGATTTTTTGAACTTCACTACCTCGTAGTGAAATTTACAAGCATTTACACCAAAAATTTTAAATTACCAAAAATGCAACAATAGAATCAAATAATCTTAATGATCTAGTTAATGGGATCGTTATCTATGCTATACAGCAAAAAATAGGGTTCAGGCTTTATGAATACGGCCGTATTACTCTCAGAAGCAAACATCGTCGAAGGAGTCGGCTGTCATTAAGAAACCGGTCTTGCTCAGCCGGTTTAGACGAAATCGCGATATTTCCACTTCTTAATTGTCGAGGGATATCTGCTCTATACATACAGTCACGCTTGACTGAAAAGACGCGGGCTCCGCTTTAGGAAGGCAAGTCAAATGCCGCGTGTACTCACTTTTGCAAAAATGGGAAAATGAGACGACACTACCCCAAAAAATTGTCTCTTATAACTCAGCGTTAAATCATCCGATCAAGATGATCTAAACGGTTTTTTAAATATCATACAGGGCTTATACTAAATCCGAGGTATGAAGTCTGTAAAACGTGTCGAACCCGGAATTCGAATTTCGACATTTTCGAAAAATTTAGACCTTTCGGATTAAAAATTTGACATTGTGCCCGACGGATAGAGATTTTGAAGGGCTTTCGAATGATATATTACACTAAATATTATCAATACATATACTCGAGAAAATTTGATTTTCGATGGTTTCGAAAATTTTGACATTTTCGATCAGAACTCCCTGAATACCTACCCAAAAATTCTCAAATTCTGTGATCCTTTAGAAAATACTCTAACAAATGATTCGGAATAAAAATAAAAAATATTGTGAAAAAACTTCTTTCTAAAAATCCAAATTAAAAAACGGCCACTAATTATGTCCGCACCTAATATAATAAATATTAGGGTAGCACTCCGTCCCTCGACGAATTTTTAGACAAAAACCCTGACCCGAACTCCGAAGGCGCCAACAAGCCCCCAAAGTCTTTGGGTGCTACCCTAGTAAATATACTCGATCTCCTCCAAGGGCTAGTACCTTTAATCCTCCAAACCCCTCCTTAATCCCTTCCAATCCCATTTAATTTTTTAATTATTTTTTACCCTTTCCTCCCTATTTCTTTCTTTTCATTTTGTTTTTTGTTAAAATCTGGAGTTTTTTGAAGTTGTTCTTCTGTTGGCGGTGCTCTAATTAAATTTTCAAAATTAACTGATGTTCTTTCATTATTATCAATTTCTTCCTCATTTTCTTCTTCTTCCTCTTCATTTTGTGAAATAACTTTAAAAATAATTAAATTAAAAATTATTTAAATTAATTAATTAACTATATTTCCAATTAACATTTCTTGTTGTAATTTCAACTTCATTGTCAAAAGAATTTTCAATGTCTGGCAAGGAGGATAATGTATCGAGAAAATAAACCTTTTAATAAAATTTTGATTTAGAATTATTAAATTAAAAATATTTTTTGTGAGAAAATTTTTATGTGACATCAATTAAAAATTATTACTTCAATTCCCCTATATTAAGGTGAGTGGGCAAATTGTGCAAGGCTTCCGAAAACGTTCAGATTTCGGATATATCTTGAAGTAGACCGAAATTGTGGTTTACTCATGGTTGGGGTAGATGTGGGGAAAATTAAATTTTTCTGATTTTCTAGAGCCGGAGATTTATTGGGAATATCTATTTATTGGATTGATACTACCCCAGTGAATGGGCCTCTGTGTCTTACATCCAGTTTTTGGAAGCCCGTGATGAAGAAATTTGAATTTTAACTTTAAAAATTCAAACGCAGATTAATCCCTTTAAAAATTTCCCCAATTTTATCTGATTAATTTAAAATAATCTTCCATTTAAAAAAAATATTTTTTAATAAACCCCTTCAGGAATTGGCCATTTTTCTAATAAATTTGATTGAATTAGTTCATGCATAAGAAGTCTAAAATCAAAACAAATTCCATTATGAGCAATTAAACAAGCTGGTTTAGGTGCTATAGAAAGCATTTGATGCTTTAAACGATTTAATTAAATTTTAATTTCAAAAAAATTTTTTTCCTTACAAATCCTGGCCATTCCTCCGCAAATGTATTTTTTAATTCCAAATCTTCTCTACGAAGTTGAATAACTTTAAATTAATTAAATCTTGAAAGACAAATTACTATTCCAAATATTTATAAATTAATTACTTATGTTTAACGAAAACCCCTTGGATTTAGATAGGAGCTGAAAAAATCAGAGAACTTCGGTATCGCTTGGATGAACATAATCCCAACTCCCCGTATAAAAGTAAAAAATGGGTAGTATTAAATTTAGGTAGTAGTATGCCTAAATTTTGGGATAATTAAAAATAAGTTTCATCTATAAATATAATTTAAAATATTTTTTTCTTTCATTGTTTATACAATATTAAAATTATTTTGGCTGAATCAGTATCGAGAGTTCAATTTAACCTTGATAAAATAATACTGTTTTAAAATTAAAATTATTTTAAATTTTAATAATCTCTTGGTCATGGTTAACCTTACAGCCGTCTTTTACCAACGGTAAACAGCCAGTTCTTAATCATTTAACCAGAATCTGAATTCCTATACTACGGGCCCAGGAATCACGGTGCAGTTTCCGAAAAAGTAAGGTTTCTTATGTTCAAAGAATTCAATAGAACCATTGTTTGGAACTTTGAGATTTGCTCGTACTCGTACATCGTAGACAGGTACGAGTACGGTTACGAATTTTTGTACAAGCTTCCAGACACTGAATAGAACCCCTTATTTAATAACACAAGAAAAGAATATTTAAATTAAAAAAATTTTTAAAATAAAAATAAAAACCATTCGGTTTATTCATTCTAAGCAATTCATAATTTGCCCATTCAGTCGAATTTAATTTTGGATTTATTTGTCTAGTTTGTATATTAGTAATTACTGGAATAAAAAAATCAACAAGTTGATTATTTCGAATATTTAATTCTTTATTTAGTTGTTTTGAAGCTTCTTTAAAAAGTTTTGAGGGAATTGAAATTAATGAGATTTCTGTTATATGAGGCTTTTGACGTCCATCTTTAAATGAAAAATTTCTAAATTAAGGAAAATCGAGGATATATTTTTTTATCATTTTCTTACTGTTTTATTAAACGCTTTTGCGGACAGTTCCTAAAAGGTAACTCATAAACAGTTAATTATGCTAATAGTCAGAATTTTCTCTAATTTTTAGTTTGTTTTTTTGGTTAAAATAATTTTAAATTTTGTATTTTATCTTGTATTTACCAAGGGAAAATTTTTTTAAATACTATTTTTTTCAAATCCAATAACAATAAAAATTACAAAACACGCAAAAAGCTAAAAATTAAGTAGAAAAGGCTTAGTATACCTACGAAATTCCCATAAAAAATTTTTTTTATTTTTTTCCAAATAAAATATCAACAATTTAAACCTGAACGTATAATATTTTCCAATCGACGTGTTAAATCCTTTGGAGGACCCGGATTAATTAAAGGGTCAGAATAGCTATCGTCAAAAAGTCCGGTTGATTCTAGATCCATAAAAATGAGGGTTTTTGTTGCTTCCATTTATTAAAAAAGTTTTTAATTTTTTTTAAATATTTTTTAATCAAAAATCCACGCAAATATTTAATTATTTTTTGTTAATTTTTAATGGAAGAATATTTTTTCTGTATTTCTCTTTCACTATCCATTATTTTCTTTCTCCCTTCGTATAGAGCGGAATTAAGTTTAAGGGAAACCAAATGACTGGTTGGGGAACTACTAAATAATAAAAATAAAAATCGGAAAGGAAAATAAATTTAGAAATGTGGAGAGGAAAGAATAAACGAGGGAATGTTTTTATTTTTTCAAAAAGTTAAATTAAAATCTTGTTTAAAATTTATAAAGTAATAATCAAAGCTGCTTTGAAATTTCGATTTTTGACTTCTGATTTTAAAGTTTCTTTTAACTTTTTTTCTTTCTTCAAAAATTTGATTTTTATGGCACTAAAAAGAGGAGGAAAGTAGTTAACCCCCCCTCCGTGTCGCGGGGGCAGAAGGGGCTGTCAGTTAATCAATCAAAATTAAAAGGTGTTAAATCATTTCACTCCCGACCCTTCCCCACCAATCAAAAGGTTTTGAGACTCTATTTCCCCCACCCACCCCTCTCTAATAAAAGGTACCCATCCCAAACTTAAAGCTGCTGGAGCTTTTCCCTCTTCTTTACTCTTCACAACCAAACCAAAACCTATTGGGACTCTTTCTTTTGTCCATCCAAAGACTTGAGGCTTTTCTCCCCACTCATGCAAATTTCCTTTGTCTGCTGCGACTTTCTTTTCTTCTTTTTATATCCTTTTGCCTCCAAATCCTTTTCTCATCAAAATATAATCCTTTTATTTTATTGCATTGTTTTTAATAGTTTATTTTCCACAAAATTTTTCTTTATTTTGCCGATATATTTTTCTTTTTGAATAATATTTTTCCTCCTACACTTCTTTTTTTCATTTCATGATATGTCTATTTTATATAAAAATAGGCAAATTCTATTATTTTTAATGTTTTTTATTAAAAATTTAATTTATTTTTAATTTAATTATTTTCTAGTAATTTAAATAATTTATTTTTATATATTTAATATCTAGTCATAGGGTGGGTTGAAAAAGTCCGGTCGGGTTTCCAAAATTTTCTTCGGGTCGGGTCTTCAAAATTTTCTAGTCTTATAGTTGTTTTTTAAAATATTTTTAATTGTATTAGTTCCCCTATTTTCTACATTTGCCATATTTTTCCTCTATTATTTTTTCCCTTTTGTAATTTTGTTCCTATTTTGAACAATTATTTTTAAATTATTATCATTTTATTTTAATGATTTATTAACAGAGATGGGTCGGGTTGAGAAAAAAGTTATTTTTCTTCGGGGTTTAAAAAAATACTGAAAAAGTAGTATGGTCGGGTTTCGAGTTGAGTAGTGTAGTTCCTAAGTAGTAAGGTGCGAGGTCGAGGTTTTAATAAAACCGAGACCAAAGTTGATTAGGGAGAGAGGTTTGATAATGATTTTACTAAATCATTTTCAAATTCAGTAGTTTGTATCTGCAGTAGTTAATCCAAAGGGTTCGTACTTAGTAGTTAACACCCCTTTGGGTTTCAGAAGGCCAGATTTCTTCCTTTTTCAGCGCCGCATTTTAGTGTTATGTATACAGTAGATAATTTATGAACACCTCACCATAATTTACACCTCATCAAATACTTTATGTTTGACATCTGGGGATATATCTATAGTATACCATTTTGGGGAGTTGCACTTTTAACCGAAATATATTTTGGTGAAATGTATTTGTCCATTTGATTCCTCGTCTATCTGGGGTATAAAAGGGGACGATTTATTGGAAAATCTTTCATTATTGAAAATGTCCGATATAAAATTCCCAAAAATATTACCTGAAGTTGAGTTTAATATCTCAGCTACAGGGATTACAATCTCCAGTATGCGCTATACAACTCCACGGTTTCTTCCTTACGACCAAGGAGGGAAATGTCGTAAGTGCAAGAGCACAGAAGTCGAATTAGATTTTATTATAGTAAAGGAAGGGGTTGTAGTCTATTGCACCCGCTTTGAAGGAAGTCGATTTGTTCCCTTCGATTCTTTATACGATTTACCAGGACATTGTTTCTTTAAAGTAAAGAACAAAGGCCGAGTCTTTAATGTACCATACAATGATACCACTCAGATTCCTTGCCCCAAAACTGAACAAGCTGAACCACAAAGTCCGCCAAAAATACCCGAAGAAGTGACACAGACACCCCTGTCGCATCCGGCGAATAAATTAGTTAAATAAACTTAGTTAAATTACGAAATTTGTTAATCACTGAAATTCTTTATTCACTTTCTCACACAAACACATTACAAAATACTTTCCTGTAAATCAACCGCTATAAAAATAGCTGGCTTTTCCCCGTTTTATCGGTCTCAGCGGTCATTAAAATCTTTCCTTGGATCACAATCTGTCCCTTTTTATAAATTATATGCTTCTTCCTTTCTCAAATAAATTGTACTTTTCATTGCGAAATAAAGAAATAATTGAACGTTCGAATTAATTATAAATTAGGAGTCCCAAATATAGGAAACATTTCCTACAGCTCAGCCGGATCGAAAACCCGAAAAATGTCAGTACCTTTCCGCAATGCATTGCGGCTCCTTGCTGAAGACGCTACCGAAATTTTGGAAAATAAAAAAGAATTTAATCTCCCCGAACAAACAGGTAGCATTTCCCTCCACCGTTCAAATATTCGCTCCCTCGTTACATCCCTAGAACTAGAATTGGGAAATGTATCCGAAACAATCACAGATATAACCTCAGCCCACGAAAGATGGATGACAGTCCGTACCAGTATGACAGGCGCAGAGCGCCAAGCCGACAACCCGATATACGAAGCATTTACTACAGAAACTCCATTCCTTAATATACTACGAGATTTAAAGAGATATTCCCGTAAACTCCTTTCTGAAAAGGCTAAATTAACAGAAGTTCTTCCCGATCCCTCCCAAATCACAAATACACATTTTCACCTCCCGAAACTCTCTCTTCCCAAATTTAATGGAAAATGTGTTGAATTTACATCCTTTTGGAATTCATTTAAAGTTGGTGTCCACGACATTCCAGATCTTTCCGATGCCGTTAAATTTAATTATCTCAAGGAATGTTTAGATGGACCCGCATATTTACTGATAAAATCCCTTCCCTTAACCAATGCTTCTTATCATGAGGCAATTCGACTTCTAAAAGAAAATTATGGAAATGCTGATGAAATAAATAGAACTCTTTTACATTCAATCCGAAAATTACCGACAGTACATTCAAATAATGGTCCTGAAAATTTTTGTATGGAACTACGAACATTCGTAGACCAATTCGAACTATTATACTTACAAATGATTGAACAGGGATTTGATATTAACACGCTCTCCGTCCAAATGGAATTAGAATCGAAGCTTCCACCTCCTATTTTAGAAGAAATATTTAAAGCTAAGGAACAAAATGAAGCAAACTGGCAAACTGATCAATTACGGACAACACTAAAACAAATATTGAAAAGAAAGGAAGGAATAAAAGCCCTGGACGACCAAAAGAAGGAGCTCAACGAGCAGATAAGTCACCCTTGTATTCCAAAATCATTCCGACCCTTTAGACAGAGTAGCCCACCTAACACACCACAATCCTCCCTAACAGTTTATACATCTCAACAAAACAATAAAACAGGGATGTTTAGATTCCCCTGTATTTTCTGTAACCAACCCGATCATCTATCCCACCTTTGCTATAACTATAATTCGATCCATTCTCGCAAATCCCGCTTATATGAGAAAAATTTATGTTTTAATTGTTATAAACCCAATCATATTGCGAGAAGGTGTCAAAGACCACTTACATGTACCCAATGTCATAATTTACATCCCAGAGCACTCTGCCCGAAATTATTTAATCAACAAAGAAATGAACCTTACATAGACGAAGATTGTAATGAAGAACCCAATATATCACCACAACAAGAAATTCCCCAGCAACATACAATTAATCACTCACAAATAACACCAAGCACACCCCCTCCAATAACTCCAATCCCCCTATCATTAATAAAATTGTCGGATAAATTTTATACTAAAAAGTCTTTTAATTATTCTTTAAAAACCGAAACCGAATTATCCCAGTTAAACAAAAAGGGTGGAAATAAATCCTTACCGCCCGAAGAGCCACAATCAATCAATAACTCAGTTAAGACTTACACACAAAATCAATTACCCGTTCCCGATCCCACGCCTCCCATTCCCGCAAATATAATTAATCAAAAACATGGTCCACTGAAGGCCATTAAAAATAATAAATTAGAAATAAAATTTTCAGTTCCCACAGATAATGTGCGTAGATGGAAAGGACTAACTAAATCTTCAGGCCCCCCAGGTGATGTTCCATCAGACATATCCTCAAGTCCGACTCCCCCTACAGCAAAGTTGGACTCTCATGATCTACCCGCATCCCCATCTGCTGCTACTGACCAACATCAATCACAAAATATTCCGTCTACAAATCCACAACCGCATGCTCCTTCGAAATTGAAAAAGAATTTGGATCCTCCACCGCCGCCCCGCAGCTCTCCAATCAAGCTCCCAATTAGCCGTGTTCAAGTGCTTCCTTCTGGTTTTGTTGAACGTCTCCCAGCCTCAACCATAGCAAAAAATCAATTGTCCAAATTGCAGATGAACAAGAAAATTAAGAAAAGAAAAATTTCATTCATTCCACCATTAAACTCAATTAAATTTACGGTCCCCCCGATCTTGCCCCGCATTATAACTACTTATAAAAATGTAAACACCAATTGGCCCATTCCTAATCTTCTCCCTTTATTAAACATCCAGCCTATATTATGTTATCTCCCATTATTCAATATCCAAGCCTTTCACTCAATGTTCGCCGCGGGAGTGTCGCATCCGGCGAATAAATTAGTTAAATAAACTTAGTTAAATTACGAAATTTGTTAATCACTGAAATTCTTTATTCACTTTCTCACACAAACACATTACAAAATACTTTCCTGTAAATCAACCGCTATAAAAATAGCTGGCTTTTCCCCGTTTTATCGGTCTCAGCGGTCATTAAAATCTTTCCTTGGATCACAATCTGTCCCTTTTTATAAATTATATGCTTCTTCCTTTCTCAAATAAATTGTACTTTTCATTGCGAAATAAAGAAATAATTGAACGTTCGAATTAATTATAAATTAGGAGTCCCAAATATAGGAAACATTTCCTACACCCCAACCCCTGGATAACCTTCCAACAATGGATGAGTTGGATGATTTCTTCCAGAGTTTAGACGCATCAGTTACAGGCATACCAACCGATTAAAATAATATTTAAATGAAAATTTCGTATATCCATAAATATTCATTATGAATTCATTAGCTTTCTCGGATAAAGATTTAAAATTTAAATTACCTTTTGGGATGATTATATCTGGTCCTAGTTCAAGTGGAAAAAGCACATTGTTGTTGAAACTTATTGCAGAATTCAAAGAGTTAATCCACCCTAAACCAAAGTCTATACTTTACTGCTTTGGGGAAATGAACAATATTGTACCGCTTTTACAAAAATCTGGAGTTGATGTGTTTTCAGGAGTTCCACCTGAAGACCTAATTAAAAAATACCCTAAACCTCTTTTACTAATTCTCGATGATTTGAATCTTTCTATTGATGAAAAATATCTATCTGAATTATTTACCAAAAAATCACACCATCAAAATTTTTCTATAATTTTTGTTACACAAAATTTATTCGATAAGAAGATCAAAGTAGCACGACAAAATTCTCAGTACCTCATGTTAATGAGGGCACCCAATTCAATGCTTTCCATCAGAAACATAGGGGTGCACCTATTTCCAAAACAGTTGGACTATTTTCTAGACTCATATCGGCAAGCAACCAAGCAACCTTATGGTTACTTGCTCATCGATATGCATGCTTCCTCAGATCCTACCCTACGTCTTAGGACCAACATATTTAAGGAAGATGATGAAAAGATAATTTTCTTTCCAAAAAATGGTTAATCAATTAATTTCTGAAAACATAAAATTTTTACATTTATTGTCAAAGACCAAATCTAGGAGAAAAAGGAAAAGACTCTTAAAATTGTCAAATAGTGAACAACTTTTAGCATTAGCTGAAATTTGTTTGAACATAGTAAAAGAAAGGTTCAAACTTACAACTCGGCAAAAGAAAAGATTATTACCCCATGCAGAATTTGTACGAAGTTTGAGTAGGGTTAGGAGTGAAAGGGGAGCCAGACATGTTATTAATCAAAAAGGTGACGGAGTGGGTGTCTTTGCAGCCCTCTTAACACCCGTTCTCATTGAAATGGCTAGGATGCTGACTATAAAAACCCACGACACATCTTAATTTTAAATTAAAATTATGGCTAATAAATTTATTCTAGTTCCTGAAGAAATTTACAAAGGTTTGACAACCCAAGATTCAGGGGAACCAAACTTGGATTTTATTCGTCAAGGTTTAGAGAAAACAAAATTGAAAAGGGAGACACCTAGTGCAAAAAATGTACACTATAATCAGGAGCTTAGGCGATATTTGCAATTAAGAAACGAGCAGCAAAATAGACCGGTTAAGGTGGAGATGGTTGCTAGTCCAAAGGGTGCAATTATGAATACTACAGCCTCCCTTCCGGCTTCAAATATTGGGGAAGACGACGATAATATATGGATGAGTGATGATATGTCCTTTAGTTCGTATCCAAAAGAGACACCATCTTATAACATTATACCGCCTATTCTGCCAGATATTAAACCAACAATTACATTAAAACCGAAAAAACCTACTACCTATTACAAACCCCCGAAAAGAAAAAGAGGTGAAGAGGAGATAGGTAGCAATAAAAGAAGACCTTTGATAGATTACGAAATCAAACCAATTAAAAATGAAATAGGTGATGATGGTTTTGATGATTATAGAAAGAAGGAAAAGAAAAGACAATATTTAGAAAGGAAGAAGGCTATCAGAGAAGAAAAAATTCCTTATACCCCACAATACCATAAGGAGGTTACATATGTTCCACCACCACCACCACCACAAGGAACAAAAAGGTTACAGTATATTAATATTGAGGAAGGTAAAAGGAAAAGGATTGATGAGTTAGAGCAGAAAAAGGAAAGCCTACGAAAAATAAGAGAGGATCAAAGGCTAGAAAATATTAGGAAAGGGAAAAAGGAAAGGGAATTAAAAAGAAGTGGTATAAGAAAACTAAAAATCCCCCTAGACCAATCAGCAATGTTAAAGGCTAGACAAGAGGATGACATTCGAAGGCGTCAAAAGTTAAAACGAAAGTGGCAAGGTCCAGACGAAAGCCCCTTCTTAACGCTAAAGAGAGTCAAACCCGTTACGAAAAAACAATCCGCAAGAGCAAGCAAAGAATGGATGCAGAGGCTTATAAAAGCCAAGCGCAAAGCAAGTAACAAATCATTTAAACCTTCATTGTGGTAATAATGGGTGATTATACTAAACTTTTACAAGATTTGTACAATAATCCAGAGTCTCCAGCTGCCTTTTCAGGTGTTGATAGACTATGGAAGGAGGCTAGAAAAGTACTAAAACATATACCTAAAAACGTTGTGCAAGATTATTTAGAAGGGCACAGGACTTATACTTTAATGCGACCAAGACGTATTCATTTTAACAGAGCCTTGACAATACCCGCAGGTTTTATGACAGACGTCCAAGTAGATTTGGCTGATTTTCAAGCGATCGCAAGACATAACAAAGGGAATAAATATTTACTTTTGGGAATTGATGTTTTATCTAAGAGAATATTTGGGGTGCCTGTAAAATCAAAAACGGCAGAGAATATGGTAGACGCGTTCACTGAGTTAATAAAACAAATGCCTATGAAACCACACCGTATATTTTCGGATAAGGGAAAAGAATTTAAAAATTCTCAAATGAACGAATTTTTTCAAAATGAGGAAATTCACAAGATGGAACCAACTCACTCCACAGTAAAAGCAGCACTAGCTGAAAGGGCTATTAGACATATCAAACAACGTATTTACCGTTACTTTGCCCAAAACAAGACCTTAGACTGGATTCAAGTCCTCCCTGAAATTTTAGAAGGAATAAATAAAGCAAAAAGTAGGGTACATGGGATGAGACCAATTGATGTTAATTTTGACAATGCTCAGGAAGTATGGAAGAAGGTATATGGAGATGTTTTTTCAGATAAAAAGACAACCCCAAAACTTAAAAAAGGAGATTATGTGCGTATGAGTCTAGGAAAAGGAGTGTTTGAGAAGGGTTATATTCCAAACTGGGGTGATGAAATACTTCAAGTAGAAAAGGTTAAAGGACATGTTCATCCAATTCGTTACAAAGTCCAAGATGATAAAGGCGAAAAGTTTAAAGGATCATTTTACGGAGAGGAATTAGCTCGCGTTCGTAAGGATGCTGATACTGAATATAGAATAGAAAAGGTTGTAAGAAAGAAAAAGAGACCGGATGGGACATACGATCTTTTAGTAAAGTTTATAGGTTATCCTGAAAGAGAATGGATCCATGAGACCCAACTAGTATAAAAGCTCATTTAATTGTTCATTATTTCATTTTTGATAAAAATGTCAAATACTTTCTTTGTTTTTCTCCCTAGTAATGTTTCCGATTATCCAGATAATCGACCAAATAAATTTCGCGTCCATCTGCCTAGACCTCTATATTTTTCTGGAGACTGGGTATGTGGTTTGCATAGTATAAGTTATCCATATTCATGGCCCTCAACTATTGGTACTCTTGACGAGCAATGGATTGACATCCATTTTACCAAAACTGATGGAAGGGCTAGTATTATTCGTGTACCCGTTCCCAAAGGTTCACACACCACTGTAGAAGATTTACATCGATTTTTATTATCTACTTTAGAACACCAAGTAGGAGCTATAGAAGGATCATCCTTGGAAAAACCCGAGACCCTAGTCAAACCTCCAAGTGTCCGCAGACCAAAACGTAGTGTATCTCCTGAAGGAGAACTTAGAATGCCATCTCCTTCATCATCGGCCGAGGAAGAGGAACCCTCTAATAAAAGACCTTCAGTTGAAAGCGATAGAACACCTCCATCTTCTGAAGAAGGAGAACTTAGAGAACAATCCCCTTCGTCCTCTGCAGAAAGGGAACTAGAATCCCGTAGTTCATCTCCTAAACTTACCAAAATAATCCCGACCCCTCAACCTCCAATACCTACACCACAGCCTCCAAAGCCTTCACCTTCAAAACCTATTCCAGAAACTCCAAAACCTACATCACATCCTCCAAAACCTATTCCAGAAACTCCAAAACCTACACCACAACCTCCAAAACCTTCTTCTGAACGTCCAAAACCCTCAACTGAGCCCCCGAAACCCGCACCCCAACCACCAAGACCTTCTCCTCAACCACCAGAACCAACTCCTCAAACACCAAAACCCACTCCACAACCTCCAAAGCCTACAACACCTCAACCTCCGAAACCCTCATTAGAACCTTCAAAACCTATTCTAGAAACTCCAAAACCTACACCACAACCTCCAAAACCTTCTTCTGAACGTCCAAAACCCTCAACTGAGCCCCCGAAACCCGCACCCCAACCACCAAGACCTTCTCCTCAACCACCAGAACCAACTCCTCAA